TAAACCATTGGGTATTATTATTGAAAGTCTCTTGCGGAGAAGCAATGTTTTCTGATAGAAAAATATTGAATTTGAAGAATTCTATGTTATCTATATTATATTATTTCTTCCCATATAAAATACGTGGAAAACTTTGAGCGACCTCTAAATATTTTTTGATTTAAAAAAAAAACTGGGGTCTAATTTTTTCGGTATAGAACAATCATAGAGGCTGAGACCATTAAAATTCCGACTTTACTTATTTTGGACCATCCTAATGTACATACATATGTACATGTAATACACATATGCATTCCCTTAAGCTGGCTAAATTGCCAGACACTGAGCTGCGTCTGTTCTTGAATTTTACAAATGTATTGCCAAAAAATGCGGTGAACCACCTAAACACGCGAATCTTGATCTGTATTTACTTATGTACATATGTATGTACATATATCCGAATGCATGAAACGCTCATTCTCGTGTTAATTACACAGTGGAACAAGATTCTACCACCAAACCAAATTATAATAAAAATAATTACTATAATTTTCCAGAATAATTTCATTATTTGATCGAATTTTACCCTTTTTTTCCTGTACATATTCAGGGTCACCAAATTTAAATACGCATAAAAAATAAACCAGGCTAAAAATCCTTGTGGGATTTTGCAATGGGAAGTGTAAGCTTTCATTTACTTTTGGTTTTATCAAATACGGAGACATGAACCTCAATTTTGTAACACAGTGTTATTAGGACGTGTTACAATTTTTAAGCTTTTTATTGCGCTTCAACATTATTAATGCTATGCGAAGATCAGCAATCATCAATTCAGGTGGCTACTATGTACATACATACGTACATATGTACCTAAGACTGCGTCACTCCCCATACAAAAAAAAAAAAAAATCGGTACTGTTTTTCCACTGGAATTATAAAATCTATTATATTTTAAGACTTCCACCAAAAAAATATCTCGCAATAATATTAAGTTTTACGTAAGCTGAGCCGATTTGAAAATACCTCCAAAACTTGAGTTTTTTATCAATACAAACAGTCTTTTAAGTATGCGTTAAAAAAAAAAATCACCTCGGATGACAAAACAGTTTAAGCTAAAAAAATTTGCATAAAAATATTTTAAATAAATTCTTAACGGAATCATAATAATGAGATTTTTGATGCTGTTTTTTTGAACTTTTTTCAAAGACTGGTTTAAGAAAAACAGTTGAGCAGTTATTCAAGTTTTTCTTAAAGAAATCTTTGAAAAGAGTTAAGAAAAAATATCAAACATCTCAATATTATGGTTCCATTGAAACAATTTTTTAAAATATTTTTATGTAGATTTTTTAAGCTCAAAATGTTTTGTGATCTGAGGGCATTTTTTCCAAAAAATCCTTTAAGAAACTATTTTTATTCAAAAAAAAACTCCATTTTTGGAGGTATTTTCTAATCGGTCCAGCTCACTTAAATCTTAATATTTTTCCGAAATATTTTGGTGGAAGTTTAGAATATAATAAATTTTGTAATCCCGCCGGAAAAACCGCCACTTTTTTTGGTGATGCAGTCTAATGTACTCGCATACATTTGTTTGAATAAACCATTATTGATAATGAAGTAGCGTAAAAAATTTCATTGGGATTTTATTAACACACGAGTTTCAGGATTTTGCCAAAACGTATTTGCAAAGTATGGAGTTAAAACAGAGTATAAAATTAACGCCATGCATGTCTTACTAATTAGCTTAAACGCACATAAACGAAACACATATACATACAATATACTGTAATGGGTGCCACAACGGGGGTTTTTTAAGCTAAACATGTATATATGCTGTGGTGTGGTGTGGTAAGCAGTGCGCGCTTCCACTCCGCAGGGCCTGGGTTCAAGCCCTGGTGAAAGCAACATCGTAAAAAAATATAGAAAAAATGTTTTTTCTTAACAGCGGTTGTCCCTCGGCAGGCAATGGCAAACCTCCGAGGGTATTTCTGCCATAAAAAACAGCTTCTCATAAAAATAAAATCGCCGTTCGGAGTCCGCGTAAAACTGTAGGTCCCTCCCCTTTGTGTGACAACATCAAGGCGCACGCCGCAAATTGGAGGAGAAGCTCGGCCAAGCATTAACATACATATGTGTAAGCGCCATTCTATTATTATTATTATACTGTATTCCCTAAAAACTTGTATGAAACAAGCTTTTGAAGTAAAATTTATTCAGTTTTTTAGTTAAAGGATATAAACCGATTCATTTTTAACACTCTCACGCCCGAATTAAATTGGATGGCTCGAAAACTTTGACCACATATTACTGATGATTGAGTATTAAATATGAACTGGTATAAATTTTAAATTTCTATGATTTCCGATTTAAGTAATGCCGAATTTCCACTAGGCATTGAAATGACATAAAATGGGTGCCATTTAAAAAATGCCCAATTTCGTCATTACCATTTTTGCCATTTAATGCCTAGTGCAAATCCAGCATAAGACACCCATTATTTCAAGCTTTCTTTCATGTTCAGATCGAATTTGAAGTTCGAAATTGTGTTACTACAATCACTCAATAGGAGCATGATGTCTTTGATGAGATTCAAAGGTACAAATCAATAAAATTAACACACGTCTGCTGGCGATAAAAATAAATATGCCTACGTATTTACAACCGATTTTTTTTTATTATAGTATTGTATGTACTGAATGAGCTTTTATTGGCAGTAATGTGCCAAATTCCATTTGTTGCTCATACGCCGCGTTGGCCCAATAAAAATACGAGTTTTGATCGATTTAGTATGCGCAATGCTTTTGTAGTGATGCAATAAACTTAACAATTATGTGCTTAACTATTTAGAAGGGTGCAAAATAACTTGTTACCAAATATTTATAAAATTTATAGAAGGCCCAATTTAGTTGTATTTACCTTATTAACAAGAACAAAATTAGTATTCCCTATATTATCTACTAACTCCCTTTTTGGCAGCAACGATCGATTTGGTTAGCTCAAAATAAACGCATTTTCGCAGCAAACTGATAGAAAAAGGAATCCTGCTAGTCCAATAAATCAAACATTTTTGGAGTAGCGTAAACATCGGTATTTCAGAAAGAAAAGTTTTTCCTGGACTTTCTGATGCATCATTCTTACAAAATAAGCGATCGTGCTAACTGTCAACTAAAAACGATACAAGGGAGGATGGGTATTTTTTTCGAAAGACTTGGCGATGTTGATCCACTAAGCATTTTGGGGACAGGTATATCCATATTTACATAAGTATTTAAATGGCAAAGCCAGGCTCCAAAGTCGAAACTAAAATAAATGATGCGACGAAGACCGTTATTGCATAGAAACTTATTTCAAATGGAATGAGGAATAAAAAAAACTATGAAGTATTGAAATAATAAAGAAAAGTGATGATTTGGAGCCCGATTCCTAGCGAAAGACATAAGCTTTTCGTTTAAGTACTAAAAGATGCGCAGTATTTTAGACCACACTTACCTAAAATCATTCGGTAGAACCTAGGTCCGACGCCAGGTCAACTAAAGATTTCCAGAAGATTTTGCCGAAAGTGTGCTCAGAGCAAACTAGAAAACAAACCAGTAGGAACTGAGCGGCAAAAATACGCAATTAAAGCGACTTTAAACGCCCACTCGTGCTTTCTAATTAATATTCATTAAAAAAAATATTTAAATATTAACTTTCTCTTTTTAAATTACCCAAGCAATCCTGAATAAATAAATTAGACAAGATACTCTTGGGAAATACCGCAGTTTTTTCAATTACCAGCAATTTGTGATTTTATACTACTAATACGTACACATCTAACTAAAAACGCGCCCTATTCAATTGATTTATTTAAAGAGTTAAGGGGCTTGAAAGGGGCTTCTTGTTTGACCAAATTACGAATAATAAAGGTCAGGGAGTTACGGTAATCAACTTAAGCATTTGACATGCAATTGAATATTTTATGAGTATGCATGTATGTACATACATACATACATAAGTACATATTCTATGTATGTATATGTAGTTGGAAAAATAAATTGGATATGCCTCCAATTGTGCAAAAATCACTGAAACTATTTTTATGAGCAAATGTGTTTGTGCAAAAGCCTAGATAGAAAATTTTGCTAAATTAATAATAACAGCAATCAAAAACAATGACAACCCCCCGTTTTTTTTGCAGCTAAATCACAATAATGAAGGTGATACAAATGAAATGGTTGTGAGTACACTCCCTCTGTAGAAACACCACCACTTGTACGATGAAAGCATAAAGCATGTATATACCCAGTCAGCAAAGAAACGTAAATTTTGCCGACAGTGCAGTTTAGTTCAATTTTCCGTATCCGAAAAACCATACAAAAAACTCCTACAGTTATCATAAATTTTCGTATCCGGAAACGTTCGATAAAGATTATGTCATTTGAAAGCAATAATCGTATTTTATTTGCATGCATGCGTAGTCGGCAGTGGCTGAGCGTGCAAAGGAATGTGCTGCAATTTGTTAGCCTCCAGAAGGTGCCGGGTTCAATTCCGTCAGGCGCTTGCTAATTTTATTTTATTTCTTGAACCATGAAAAAGTATCTGTGAAGTGCAGAAGGAAAGCGTATTGAACGAAAAATTCAATCAGAGAAATTTCAGAAAAAACAGCCGAAAACGTATCCTTTTCACCACCACTTTTCGGTACTTTTTTTGGTGGGAAAACAGATCATTAAAGTATCCGGAAATGGAATAGGTAAACGGACAAAAATCCGGTTTTCAACGACTTTTTTCCGTTTTCAGATCGGTTTTCGGATTTTTTGCTGGCTGGGTATGAATCCAGCCGGCAAAACGAGAAGTGCTTTTGCAATAGAGCCTTCTCTTTGGGAGACGTATTACAATATTGAGCTTACACAAAAGCACATTGGCCTATATTTTAAGACCGCAGACTCTTTTAACATTTTGAAATGGCAATCTCAGTAAAAATTATATTTTTTAATACTTAAATTTACTACCAAAATTCGCATTTATTTTCTAATCTTATTGGCACAAACACTAATTAATAAAAAGCATATTAAACAAAATACTCTTATTGTTATTGCAGGAATTCAGGAATCTTATAATTCGAGTAAACACCTTGGAAGTTTATAACCCAGCCAGTGCCATCATAGTTCAGCGTTTTATGGAAACGTATTGAAAGTGAACTGTGTTCGCTTTTGTACATTTTGGGATTGTCCTAAAAAAAAAAATAAAGTATTATATACATATATTTTTTTCTAAATAAAAAAGGAATTAAGTAGTAAATTTTACCTCGCCACAAAAACGTCGAACAACTCTGTCTGGACCTTCGTCGTCGGACTCGATAATCTCCAAATAATCTGAATGGCAAGTGTTTTTAGTGCCAAGATCGAAAACTGTTGTTGTAAAGGAAGTATAAATATACATATACTTAAATTTCAATTTTACGTACATATGTACGTATGTTTGTAAGTAGGTAAGTAACAATCTGATGAGGATTAGTCCGCACACGCAATAAATAAAAGTTAAATAAAAATAAGTCCCTAATCCTGCAGATGGATGAAAAATGATTTGTACTATGATGAGGTACATATTGTTAGTTTTGTATGCACTTCTCAAACAGTGTGAAAATTACACTAGTCAATATTTTTTCATCTGAGATAAGGCTAGCCGTTTCTAATAGATTTTTGGTCGCTGAATTCAAATCTAAATTCAGAAGTGTTCTGTCACAGTAGTTATTTTTTAAATATCCTAACCTAAAAATGCGGTTCTGGGCTATTTCCGAGATTATGTAGCATAGCTGAGAGAGCTCTCGCATAGTCGGTTTTCAATATCATCAAATATTGAATCACCCTGAACCGATAAAAAGTTTCTAAGGGGTTTACTTTGACCTGTCATATTTCAATAGGCTCTGCAAAAGCTCGATTTGAGTTCGAAGAACCTGCCTGAAAGCCTTTTCACACCCATTTCGAGAGATATCCAAAATACAACCAGTTTGCACATTTACAGGTCAAGCGCTTTAATTTGACACCCCATTTTTGAAAATCGAGCGAAAGGTGCAAATTCTATGTCCTGGACAAAAAATCCATTCGCGTATTATATGTATATATAGAAGACAGGGGAAAAGAAGGCAGTGTAGAAGACCTTTCCACTCTCAGGAAGCCCTTTTGGAAGGGCTTTTATCTTCTGCAATTATATTCTGGGAATTTTTTCCGCAACTTCCTCTCAAGTGGCGTCAAACATTCAATGCGGAACGATTACGTTGAACATTTAACGCCACTGAAGAGTGAAGAGCAAAGGCAAATGAAGAACTAGAAATGAATCGAAAACCGGCCCGCCCTTAGACCCATTCAATTGATAGACGCTGGGCTTCATTATTTCACACTGCGTCGTCGAATGCCGATAAAGATAACCATAACGATACCGAAAGTTAAGGTAATATCGCCAAAGAGCCATTAAAAGTAATCGAGGTGGAGCAGACGCGAGCTCTATATTTGACCTATAGATTTGTCACGTCGCTGATCACAAACCCGATATTCATATGACCCCGCCACGTCTAGGTCAAGGTAAAATCGATATAATTTTTAGACCCCGGATTCATATAAAAAAAAACAGAAAATTTCACGTTTATATACAGTTCGATATTTCAGTCAAAGTGACCACTGGAGGTCGTTTAGAGGTCATCAGAGGTGTTAGACCTTCGTTTGTTATTGACGTGATGAAGTCATATGAATACCGGGATCCTCTGATCAGCGACCCTAAAAACTGTAAGCACACCCATGCACACCCATGCAGTACATGCTTTTGTTTTTTTTAAGCATTTAGTACCTTCTTTTTCAACCCCCCCAAATTTACAAAATCCCAGAATATTCATAATCTTACCTTCAAAATGCAGCAACACATGCAAATTCGATGGTACGCGAATATTCCAAAGACAATTGGAATTATTTCGCACATTATTCGGATAGAATGGATTAACGATTGTGCCACGATTATTGTATAGATTACCACCACAACCAGGGCCATCACGGCTAGCCAAATAAGTAATATCGAATTTTGTATAGTAGCCGCTCATTTTCACATGCAAACGTAATTTATTCGCGCTGGAGAAGAGCGCCTTATCATTGCCAGTGTACGAGCAAATCTTTTGCAATGAACTATTCGTGTTAGCGTTAAAAACTTCAATATATTCCTTTGTGCACTCGTATTCAGCAAATGTAACATCCGCATAGTAAAGGCTGAGTGAATAGTTTTGTGGCGCTTCTATGTAGACATCACATTCATCAGTAGTATCGGAGATTTGTATGCGTCCTTGTGTGCCGGTGTAATTACGGAAGCAGCCTTGCGAGAGATTAAGAGTGAAATAACCCATTAAAAGTGGTGATTTTAAAAAAGATTAGTAGTATAGGTATTTCGTTGAATGACGTACCTTCAACAGCAAAAGCGCTTATGCTGAAGCCTGTTTTTTCAATTTCATCATCAGTCTGAAATTTGATAATAATGGTATTTCCAGTAGAGAAGTAATCATCTGGTACGTGATTGCCACAATAAACGTAATCGGTTGCGTAGTTACTCCAATCGGTGCTACCCATTTGGCCATTGAAAATTATCTCAGTGCCGTAACCCTTCTCGATTTCACCGGCATCCTGCGAGATTGGTAAATATTCAAACTTTAATTTGGCAAATATTCAAACTTTAATAACATAATCAAAAATAAATGGAAGAACTTTTTAAGTAAGTCGAGTAATTTACAACACTATGTTTACAAAAACATTTTCGCATGACTCTTGGGTGTAAAGAATTCTTGATTCAGTTATTTGTTGAGCAAATTTGAAAATTCTGAAATTTTTTTATTTCTTTCCATTTTTACCCACCATCAGAAGGAGACACCTCTAAGGCATACATTCTATACACTGGGGGGAATAGGGATAGAATTTGCTACCAAAAATTTCGAATCTTGACTCATTGGCTCCTAAAATCTATTGTCATTGTTCGATAGTTGGACCAATTTTGATGTTATTTTGCCTGTTTAAGTCGTTTACGAAAAATTACCGGCCGCAACAATGGTTTTTTGGCAACGACCCGTCCATACAAACCAAAATGATTTTTCCAAGTGAGTTTAAACTTTTGCAGGGCACTGTATGTATATACATACAGAGGTTTGCTTATGGATTTTTGTAAACTCAATTAATTTTTAAGCAAAAAACACAAAAAACTTCAGTGCTTACATAACATTTAGGCCTACCGTTAATGTCTTCATGATACAATGGTCGGAACTAAACTAAGTTAGTATGGGGCCACTCTTGCGATAAAAAAATAAAAATATTCCGATGAACCTTTCGATAACCTTTTTTTTTTTGAAATCGGTAAAAATCAAATTACCAAAAGATCGATCTACGTCTTTTTTTAATTTCCTCTCCTTACTCCTATTTTAGTACCAATCCGGCAGATCTCAAGCACGTACGATTACTCATCGCAGCCACTGTATGCAGATATGTATATACATATTGATACAAAAGAACATCAAGGTATTAAAAATTATTCGACCAGAGCTGCGACTTGTAATAGGAAACCCCGAGACCCATTTTCACTGCTACGCAGTTTAATTAATTATTGTTATTAAGGTATTATGTGGCACTCTATGGTAACACATTTCTCAATCGGAACTTACCTCTTTATTGTAAATTTTTAGCGTATCCCCAGCACATTTGCCTGTGGTGTTGGTGCCTTCCAAATCGAAGCGCTCGAATTTCAAATGTATTGTTTTCGTGCTTTTCAGCCGCCACAAGCAGTTCATATGTTTGCCATAAAGTTGGTCTGGTGCGTTCGGCGAATTTAAAACAAATTTCTGCAAAGACATTTTTACTAAGCACAACTTCGCCATAACTGCTTCACGCTCACACACTCACCTCTTTGCTCTTAACCTCCACTTCCATATCCCCACATATTTTAGGTGAAACTGTAATTTTTGCACTAAAGCCCGTACTCGCCACCGCCGAGTCACTCACGAAGCGCATAAATAATGCATTCTGTGAGGACATCATGCGCGGCGGCACTACATGCCCACAAAATGTGCCAATCAAGTCTGCGAAGGGACCGCCGCCATCACGCACTTCTAAGAAATCATCCTGACACTTTTCGCTATCCTCAACATGGAAACTATTGAAGTCCGCAAATAGCTGTCGTCCATGCGTGGTTGTGAAAACGTATGCACAATCCAAGTTATGCGTATAGCCGTTCGCATATTTTGTGAAATCGTATGTAGAATTATCGGCTCCTAGGTAGATTTTTTCATCGCAATTCGGCAGGAAGTTGATGACCGCTTTAAAGCCCATCGAACCGATGCTGCGATCTGAGTAGCTGTGTATCAGTGCGCGATTTCCGGCAATATGCAGTGGTGGTATGAGGCCGGTAAGGTTACCGCAGAATTTCGCAATACGCTGATCCTCGACTGGGAATAAGGACTTGTAAACTTCGACACCGTCAAAGTCACATGTTGAATCGCTCTCATAGTCGAAATATTCAAATTTGATGAGTATCTTATAATCACTGGGCGCAGTTAGATTCCAATTGCAATCACTGTTTGGTGGCATACTGCCATCGCTATATTGGCGCGGTGTCTCTATCACAGTCGCGTTGTGTATGGTGTAGCCACAAACGTTGGTGCTGTAAGCAAACTTGAAACCCCTGGAGGAAAATGAGTGATCGGTGCGCAAAACCACCGTTATTTTATCACCACGAAACTCGTGCGAACGTTTAGTACCACAAAGTATCGTTTCTACCGGTGGCGAGTCTTCGATGTACGTTTCCACGGTAACGTTATCGAAGAGACAACGCGTAATTGGCGGCTCTTCCACCTCGAAGTCCAAGAACTGCAGCAGTATGCCGGTCTTAGTTTTCTCCTTCTGCACGATAGTGTAATTGCACACCAGATTGTTCTCGTATCGCCATGGGTAGCCCGGACTGGTCTGATGTTGCAACTCACGCGTTGCATAGAGTATACCACCACAATTGCGTTCGAAATTCGCTGTGAAGCCATCACCCAACGTCTCGGCATCTGTGCGGAAAATTAAGCGCATCTGGGTAGTTGTACTATTTACCGATTTTGGCGGTTCACGTCCACAATATCTGCCCAGCTCTTCCCAAGTACCGTTCAGCGTTTTCTGCTGCACCAACAAATAATCTTTCGTACAATCCTTGCTCGACTCAATGAAGAAACGGTCGGTGAAATAAAGCCCGATATGAAAGCCAGTTTCTGTTGCCAAATCCCACACGCATTCAATATTATTCTTGTATTGGTCACTAAACGTTATTGGTCGATATGGATAGGTGAGTTTGCCACCGCAACCGCTGCCCTGTTTCAGCGACAAATTAAACTTGGACTGCGCTTCATAGTTGCGTGCGTAGTACTCAACAAACACGCCACGCTCCACAACCATATTGTCCATGGATGATTGTGTGCAAAAGCGTCCCAAGTGTGGAAAATTCTGATTGGGCCCGCCGTATACAATTAGATATTGATCTTCGCAGGAGCCCTTGAAATCCGTGGACAACGATACTTCGATTTGAGTGCCTGCTGCCCAGAAATCAAGATCTTCCGTGTCATCCACGCTGAACTCATGATCGGGCCACACTGCCCACGCGCACTCCAATTCGCCGGTGTGATTGCCCATTTGCGGTTGCGTTATATTGAGATCAGTGTAAATGGAATGTATGCCGCCGCATTTGTAAACTTTGTACCTCAAATCTAAGTTGATGAGTTTGTTACGTCTGTTGCCGAGCAATTTCATGGTTACCGGATACGGAAGTCTTACGATGGGACGGGTTTCGTTTTTACACAAGAGATCCGACGCGATTTGTTGCGAGTTCAATTCCAATTTGAGAGGCGATACGTAGCTGCAAAGCGAAGAATATAGCGAAAATGTTAAGTTTCGTTCAAATCGTTCCACTTGCAACGATAATGTTTCGTTGTCTTGCATTTTGAGCGCGTAATTGCAGTAGATGTCGGTATCATTTTGGCGCCTGAAGCGCACAACTCCTTCACCATTATCCAGATTGAGATTATGGCGGCACACCTGCGAGTCCTCATCCGAAGTGAAACGCAATCGGAAGCCGCGATGTTGACTGAATGAAAGCAAAAATGCATCAATGCCCATTGTGTTGTCCGTGGAGTAGACCGCCGCGGGTGGATTTCTAGATATACGCGCAATAATCGATTGCATCTCAAAATCATTAGCAAAGCTAAGGCGCCCACGGAAAGAGCTCACATGCCCAAATGAGTTGGTTGCATTCAACGCTGCGCCAGTGTCGAAATCAAGTATCTCGACTTTGATGCGCTTACCTTTCGGTACACGTATGTACCAAACGCAATGTGTCGGCCTATTGACGCCTTGTGGATATCCCGGCGTGTATAGTGTGCCACGATTTGCTGTGATGGTCTCGCCGCAACGGGTGCCGATAGCGGAATATGTGAGTTTGAAGGAGTGCGCCGCGGGATTGGAATTTTCTATGCGATAACGCACAATCAGCTTATTTGTCTCGACGATGTAAGCTTTATCTTTGCGACTGCCGCATATACGTAGCGAATCTGTAACATTATCTTTGCCCTCGTATGTGACGATCTCCTGTAGTTCCAAGTGGCTGCCTTTAGAACAATCCTCTGTGTCCGGCAGCTCCATAGTTTCTACAATAATTTTGATCGTACTTCCGCCATCCACTTCGATTGTGTATATGCACTCGAAATCGCGTGCATCATTTATTACCGATGCATCCGGTGAGTAAATTTCACCCTGATTTTCGTAGTAAGAACCACCGCAGCGTCCGATCGAAACCAATGCTTTGAAGCCTACGTGTGGCTCTGAGATATCGGTGAAATATTTTACGCGTAAAACATTACCAGTCGTATACTGCATGTTTGGCTTCTTTTTGCCACAGAAGATACCGATCACGGGCATTAGTTCGGTTGCACCGTCATTTAGCTGCACATATTCGCGATCGCAAGCGCCCGAAGTACTATCCGATGTTGCCAAATCGAACTCATCTCTGAATTCGACAGCGATTATATGATGCGCTGGTGCCTCCACACGCCAAATGCACTCCGAATGTGGATTGGGAATATTGGGATAAGAGGGGGAATTAATAATTTTTTCTCGTTCCGAAAGTGTACCCTCAGTTAGAAGCAACACATCAGAGCACTCATGGCTTATCTCTTCGTAATAGAAAGCAGCTCGGAAGCGTGGAAAAGCGGAACGCGAGAATTTTACGAATGCCCGATTCGAAGTGGTCTCCAGCACATCGGTTATATTGTTATCACAATACTTGCCCTTGCCGAGGAAGGGCGAATCCTCTGCTAAGCCATTGCGTACCAAAAAGTAGGCACGACAAATATTCGCTTGATTTTCCGGTGCCAGATAAGAATCCATGAAACGTATGCGTATACGACGACTTTGGCGAACGTGTATTTTCCAGACGCAATCCACTTGGAAATTACCAATACCAGACACTAACTCCGTTATATTAACTAAACCTTGTGTAGCCGTCATCTCGGAGCCGCAGACAGTTCTCGCTTGCCCGGAGAAACCTGTTTTATTCACGCTAAAATCGGTGACAAAGTTCAGTTTGAGATACGGTGTGCCATGGTAGACCTTTTGCACATTTTCGGGTTTCTTACACAACCGATCCAGCTGCTGCCAATTCTGTAGATCACTGCTGGCAGACACTGTAACGTAATCTACAGGGCAATCGACCATTTCTTCCAAGTCGACCGTAGTCATTTGGAGGGTAACATGTGTGGCAGGTTTTGTTGCCATTAGCACCCAACTGCAATTAAGCGAGCTGGCATAGCCGTTAGGATAACCAGGCGAATTGATAAAAACCAAAACACCGGTATTTATGGTGTAGAGATTTTTGCCACAAATTGCAGCATTTTCTTCTAAAGTTTGATTATTTCGCAATTCTTCCTTTGAAAGTGTGGACCATTCCAACTGGAAGGGACCACGCGAAGCCTTTATGTAGAGTATATTTGTGCTGGAATGGACATAATTTTTATTCGAGTAATCGATTTGAAGTCCAATATCCGAATAACCGTCGTAGAACTGTGAAAACGCAAATATAGAAGTGATTAGGAGAATATGGTTATTCATGTAAGTATGTATATGTATATGCAGTTCATATAAAATAATAATTATGTATGTATGTATGTACATATGTATCACAGCAAAATAGCGTAATCTGATTTTTTCTCAAACTGTTAGTTGCCGGTGTTGTATGCAGTAGCGCCTAATTAGACCCGCCTAGATCAGAAAATCTTTCAGTTGAAAGGGTGGGACCAAAGAAAAGGGGTGTAAATTGAGTGTATCTAAGAAGGTATGAAAAGCGTCGGGTGTAGTGGTTGTTGAGATGCCTTCTGACTTGCCTAAAAACTTCTTTTTCCAACTACTGCCTTTTCCGGTGCTCATGTCGACAGCAGCCGGTCAGGAACTATTTGTTCGATATTACGTTATTTTCGCTGAGATCAACTGGCCCTGCTATATAAATGGGACTCTGGTGACATCCAAAGACATCTCATAACTGTCCGTAGCTTTGCTCACTGCGCCTTACCAGTTCCCGATGACGCTACTGGGGCTAAATATGCTGCTATTTTGCTAACAACGTGTTGCTGCCTTTGTGTGCGCGGATAAGTAGAGAAAGCTATTGGTCAGGTAGCTCGTGGTCGGAATTTGTACGTCATCGATGGGAGCTCCTAACTACAGGCTGACTTCTTTCGTCAGAGTGGTAAATATGGTTGCCAACGATTTCGTTGCGGGATAAGGTTAGACTTCTTGTGGTAAAGAAGGTAGCTAGATCGAAGAGATTGTGGTTTAATTTCGAGCATTGGCCATCAAAAGGTTTCCGGACGCTAATATCGAGCAATCGTCGGCATTTGAGATCAGACAAACTCCATCTTTTGGCTGAAAGAGCATCGATATGTACAAATTTGAAAGAAGCAGGTAGAAGACCCGAGGTGGTGTAGGGTAGTAAGTAGCAAGGCCTCAAGAGTATTTACTGCTAGGGAGAGCTATCAGTTGATAGGACACCATTTTGTTGGCAGGTTTCCTCGGCTCGAGTAATGGGACCACTCACCACTCTTCCTGACTTTTATAAATCAGGAATGGCGACAGTGATCAACAACTTGAGAACACTGGTTCTGTTGCTAGGCTTTGCTCAACGAAGGGCGCGTTATAAATTATCATCGCAAAATTGGCACGGATTACCTCCAAGCATCCGGACGAAGTTAAGCGTGCTGGTGCAGCATAATTGCGGAATAGCTGTTCGCTAACATGGACGTCCGCATGTGTGGAAAAAGCGGCGAATGTGTTCTCAGTATCATATATCGTCACGTTATGATAAATATATCGGACATTTACGAGATATTTTTATATCAGGCGAGCTTCTGGACCTTCCGTAAAAGAGTGCAAAACAACCTCATACCAGACTAAGATTTAATTCTACCAAAGGTTACTGAGCACCAAATTTTATCGATTATGTACATTGCTGACAAATCTTAAACATAATCTTACCTTTATAAATGGTATATCCACATCGATAACATGTTTTATGACCACCACCAGCACGTACTCCTTGTCGACTGTAATACGCCAAGTGTACGGTTCATCTACATGGAACTTGGTGGGATAATGCGGTGACTCAATTGTACCATTTGTGCCATTGATTTCATTGTGTGTAGCTAAAAATGAGAGAGGACAAAAATATAAGTACATTAGACCGTATCAGAAAAAAAGTTCGTCGTACACCTTCGAATCCAAAGTGTGTTTGCAAGGCAATTTCAAAAACAATTTTTTTCTTGGCGGAACTTGGGGTTCGCTTTTTTAATTTTTCTTCATACCTTCGGCATTTACAATCGGATCTTACACTAAATATGATATATCGCTGTTTTTGTCTCGAGGAGTAATTGTTTGTGTGCCGAAGTCCCTTGACCTCAAGTACCATGTTCTCGTACTTACCCAAGAGATTTCACTTGCTACCATCCTATTGTCAGCAATTAAAGCTATTCAAATTTCGTTAAACTTTCGCTTAGAATGTATTTTGATTATTCCAGTAGAACTAAGTTTAAAAAAAAAATATTTATTCCGAATATATGTTGGTGCCACCGAAAAATCCATATGACGACCCAAAAGTACGACCAAAAAAAAAATTTTGAAATTGAATTGCAAAAATACTTTTGACTCAGATGTGTACGGCAACCTTTTTTAGTTTGCTTGTAATTTTGTACGGCCTTATGTACATATGGCATACGAAATTATAAAATCTTTTGTATTTTAGGACTTCGGCTAAAGTGTTTCGGAAAATTACTAAAATTTACGTGAGCTAGACCGACTGAAAAAATGTTTAAACATTTTTATGCGGGCCTTTTAAGCTTAAATTCTTATATAGTCTGAGATGATTTTTTAGAAAAAATATGTTTAAAAACTAATTTTATTTATAAAAAAAACTCTAGTTTTGGAGATACATATTTTCAATGAGGTATATAACAGAAATTTATATTTCCGATGGAAAATCAGTACCAGGTTTTTATTTTTTAATTCCATTTTTTTTTATGGAGAGGGATGTACCCTAATGCATATACATACATATGTAAGTATAGATGAAAGCATTAAATGTACCTATAGATATGTATATGCGCAACCGAATTTACTCACCATAATTATAGGACACCACAAAACCATTAGCCACGCCATCATCATCGCTGCCGAATTTCACCCATATTGATTGAACGCCCGTTATGGGTGGTGGAATATTTGTACCACAGAACAGACCTAATAAAGGACCACTCTCTTTTGTGTCACGCACTTCCAGATAGTCTTTGTTGCAACCCTCCGATTCCTCCAAATCGAATGATTCAATTGTGAATATAAGCGAGTTGCCTTCACTGGCCACAATAAACCATTCGCAATTGATATTCACTGGATATGAGGAGGGATAATAGGGTGTGGCGAATTTGCCACTCATCGATGAGTAATAACCGCCACACCAACTATCCACCAATAGATAGTATCCTTCAATTTCGGTCGTAACATTCAGTGGCATTCTGATGGTGAGTGCATGTCCATTCGAAATAATATCTGGTGGATGTGTTTTGCAGAACTTGGCGCGCAGGGGTGCAGTGTCATCCATACCATCAAATACCTGTTGTGTATTATTTTGGTTAATCAATGAAGATCCGAAGACAGTTGACTTGTTTTTCAATTTACCTTTACGCCCTGATCCATACAGTCCTCCTCCGTCAATGCCGACATTGCTACCAGTGGACTGAGCTGTACGTGCGTAGGTGTGAATTGTACATGTTTGGTTAGATCTTTTGCTATTAAATGCCATTCGCAAGTTTCATTCGTTACCACATTGCGACTTATACCGATATAACCCACGTCATCATCGCCAATTTCAATGCGTTGTCCACAATTCTGTCAAACCATAAAAGATAATAACAATGAATATTGTAAAATATTTACGAGTATGTTTACCTCCTTGTAGCTCAATTTGAAACCCTTCGATTGTATACTATCGTCACTCTCAAAACGCACCACCGCCCTATTGGTAGTGGTAACCCACTCAGTTTGCGTTGAATCTGCCAAACCACACTCTTTGAACAGTAGCTTGCCCTCCTCTATAGCCGTATCACCATCACTGTTGCCATCCTCGTATGCCTCTACATAGTCCATTTCACACGAATAATAGTTTTCCATTTCAATTTCTTCTAAGGTAAGTGTGATTGAATGATACGGTGTCACTTCGATAGTCCATTCGCAACTTGCTTCCGGCGGATAATTGAGTGGGTAATTAGGTGATGTGATGACACCATTTTTACTACTCAGTACACCACCACATTCTATAAATGAAACCGAGTTGTGAGCGGGAATGCATGGACAAGTTTTGAAACTAAGCAAAGGACTTTCAATGCGATCTTGTTTATACGGGAAGATTGAATGGGATTAACTTGAAACTTTCATGCGAGTTGAAGGTGTTATCCTCGATTTAAAGCTAACAAGGTGGCGTAACGCCAAGGAGAGAGCAAAGAAATAACTAGCGGCATTCCATACATGCAAAAGTGCTCAAAGGTGGAAGGAAGACCTGCAAATCAGGCAATTTCATCGCCAGTTCTTTCGAGCGAAGATCTTTTCCATATAGAAAGCTGTCTGTATAATACCAAATTGTAAGTGATTATCAGTGTGTACTATACGTCTTCACAGGAAAGCGGCTTTGAAAGCGTTAGGATAAAAAGAAGTGAATTTAAGAGTCACAACAATGTCTTTCCCTCTCTCTGCTGGGATGAGATGGCTATAAACGTCTCGGAAATCCAGAACGATTTGTGTTCTACTGAGGACAATGGATGACCATACTGCAACGATAATAAATGGCCTAAGAAGTAACACTAAGTATTCTTATGAACATAATCACAGCTATTGCACCAATGCTCAATGGATGGCAAAACCGAACTAGTTTTTCCAAGAAATCGATTCACCATTTCCTTTCTCAGTGTTCAGCTCTACGAGTTATTCAAGATGAAGGCGATGTGAAATATCAACACTGCCCGGTCGCGGTTGATTTTTCCAAAGCCAAACACGCTACGCTCTTCCACGATATCCTTTAAATATCATCAGTCGAATTGTTCAACGTTAAGAGCAGACCGCGTAGGATTTAAAAGGTGGTCCTCCAAGGCGACGTTCCCTTCCCGACACTTTTCAATATTTACATGGCCAAACAAACTTCATCCGTAGCCTGCTACAGTTACCTTAGTGTCCTACGACTTTTAGAGACGATTTATAGCTACTTCTCCGAAAAAATTTTCACTGGCAAGAACCTAAAACTTTCTGCAACTAAATCCTCTGCCATATTTTTCAATTGGAACCCGACGGTGCCAACATTCCTACAGTTAATAACACAAAAGTACTGGACATCCTTTTCCGCGCACATCGCCGCGCCTTGGGATAAGCTTAATTTATGAAAAATGTCCTCAAGTCACTTGCCCACTACAATTTGCGTACGGACGAAGAAACATTACTCGTGACTGACAAGGCGATTGGCCGATCGTTGAGGAGCTACACTGCGCCAGTTTGAATGGCAGGATACTAGCGACTCCCATTGTGAATATATGAACCCATGTCCTCAGAACATCGGTGCTGACGGAAAAAGAGCACGATTGCACCTAGGCAGTCGCTTCACCCTAACAAGACAGGCGTGAACACCCACAGTATGTCCTTATGATTTCAAAACTTAAACATTCTCGATTTTCGTTATTTTAAACTAAGTTTTCAAATAACTATCTTTGCTTTTAAAGCGCTCGTGCCCATAAAGTAGTTTGCATCGTTTGTAGTCCTTACCCTAATGTGTTAAAAAGTTAGATACTTACGCGACTTCAATATCTTGTACGATGCCTGGAATCCTTTTCCGTTATGCTCCTTATTACTTATAAACCGAACGAACAGCTGATGGCTCGAACTAGTAATAACCAATTTATCTTGTTTGCCACAATGGCGTTCTTTGTAATTGTTGCTCTCAGAGTGACTAGATATCTAAATATAGCAATAATTTAGAGAAGATCCCTCTATCTTGGCTGCCGGTTCGAAAACGCCCTATGTCAGCAAATGGTTGAAAAATGTGTTTAAAAAACGTCTTATTTCAGCTGCCGCTTTAATATATCGGCAGCCAAGGTAAGACGTTTTTGAATCATTTGCTGAGATATGGCGTTTTTGAACCCGCAGCCGAGATAGGGCGATCTTCCAGTCATCCGTCGATATGTAGTAATACTTTACCAAGAAAGACGTCAAGGTTAGACACTTACCACTAGTGCATCATTGGTACAGTTTACTGTCTCCTCAATATCCAGTTCCGTCACGGTCAATTCAACACCTTGACCCGGCGTTGTTTTGATCTCCCACATACACTCAATATCGTTGGGATAAGGCAGCGGATGGTTGGGCGATTGGAATTCACCCGTTTCACGATGGAACACCTGTACGCAACCGAACATTACATATTCCAAGCGGAAATTCACCCAACTGCTGTTCTGTATAACCATCAGTGTGTTTCCAGTTGTGGTGAAGTTGTCATTTGGCGATAGTAGATGTACGAGTGTTTCATTCTTGCCGGGCTCTTTGAATACAACATCTCGACCACCATCTCGTTTTTCATAATGTGAAAATTGTAATACGATGAGATTACCCTTTGGCGCTTGAATCGTCCATGAACAATTTATGGGATCATTGAAGTAAGGATTGCCAAAATTCGGACTTTCGATCACACCACTAATTTCGGTGATAGTTCGTGTGCAATTCGAATAGTATGACAGTAAAAAGCCACGCTCGCGCTGACTGCTATCGGTGCGGAAACGCAGCAATGCCTCATTGCTCGTGGTGAAAAGTTGTTTGGGTTCTTCTCGTTCCAGCTGACACAATTTCGCCAGCAGCGGATGTGAAGTGCTGCGACCATTGTAGATTTCCAAGTAATCGTAATGACATTCGAACAATTCTTCGATTTCCAAATCGTCAATGCTGAAATGTATGGAAGAGCCTTTTGGCACCTGAATATGCCAGTCACATTCAGCATTGTGCGGATATGGATTTGGATAGCGCGGTGAAGCTATAACACCGGCATCCGATTTCAGATTGCCACCGCAGCCGTTCGAGAAGACAAACCAGTGTATTTGGAAACCACGTGCACTGAGGAAACTATCACTGTGGAAGTGCAACCGCAACTGATGGGTAAATGATGGTATTTGTCGCGGTATCAAAGTGCCACAATATTTATTAATTAATGGTGATTGCACCGAGCCGCCATTGCTATAAGGCGGAATACGTACGTAAAAGGGAAATTCAATAAACAACTAAGTAAATTTCACAGGACCACAAAAAAAAATCGAAGGTAGATCACTTTACCACACCACGTGTTCCATATGTTTTGGTGTCGCTGAACACGAATTTAAAGTCCATTTTGCTCCATCATGTCAAGATTTTTTCTAACCTCAAAAACACTGGCGAACTTTATGTGACAGACCACTTTTATAAATATCGATTTGTATCCCAGGGATTTTTGAGATTGCTGATAACGAATACGAATTCAAATTTTCAAAATTCAAAATGTCGGATTTAAATAAATCTTGGTATCCAGCGGCTTTTGAAGTTCCTGATTACGAATATAAATACAGATTTTCAAAATTCAAAATGGCGCGTGGTGATCAGATTTTAATAAACTGGTTTATATCTTATAAAATTTTATCAAAAGAACCTTTCACAGATTTTTTTGTGGTCCCGTATTATGTATGTATGTATGTATAAAGTGCAGCCTACCGTATTTCCAGCCAATCGCTGTCGCAGTTTTCGCTCGCTTGCAACTCAAACATATCGATGTCTAATTTGACTTGTGTATTCTCGGGAGTATTAATTACCCAAATACAATCAATGCCATTTGTGTAATTCGCTGGATAGTCGGGAGAAAATATGCGCCCAGTAGTGGAGAATATTTCGCCACCGCACTGCTTGCTAATGTCTATGAACTCATAGCTGGCCTCGAAGCCACCAGCCGATTCGGAGCTATCCGATACGAATTTGAGTGTTAAAAGACGAGAGTGGCTGGAGAAAGAAGGCGGTGTGTCGCAGTATCTGAAAGAGAGGCGATTTCATTTTTTTTTTTAATAACTGAATTCCGTCTTTAAGAACTAAATACTGATTTAAGGGGACTTTGAGAACGGCTACCTGGTTTGTCGTAATCCCCAAAGGGTCTTATGGAAAGTAAAAGATGAAAAGTCGACTGGGAGATTGAATAACTTAAAAATTAATTTCATTAAATTAATATATATTGGGTTAACTTCTTAAAATAGTTTCAAATGTGATAAATTTTAGAAAAAAGGTCGCTTATTCCTCAATTTGATGGTACGCTATGTAGTTCTGTACCTTAAAATTAAGGAATAATCTACCCTTATTATAAAATTTATCACATTTGATACTATTTTAAGTAGGTAAGCTCTTTGTACAGCCGACTTCAATATCCAGACCTTAACTGGGGCAGAGTTACGCGGTCGCGCATGGCAACAGAAGATCCTCGTCTGCTATTATTGGTGATAACGGCATTCATAGGAAGAAAGTCACTAAAAGTAGGGACGAATTCTCTGCGGAGGCCATTAATGGTTTATTTATGTAATGTATTAAGTGTATTTTGGCCGCCGATGTGGTGCAGTGGTAAGCAGTGCACGCTTCAACTCCGCAGGGCCAGGGTTCAAGGCCTGGTTGAAGCAACATCGCAAAAAAATGTGGAAAAAATGTTTTTTTTTTTTTTAACAGCGGTTGCCCCTCGGCAGGCAATGTGAAACCTCCGAGTGTAGGTATTATTGCCATTCTGCTTCTCATAGAAATACAATCGGCGGGCCGGAAAATTCTGTTGTATGTTGCTAACAACGTTTCCTTTTCTTTGGCCGAGGTCCTGCCGGCGATTGAATTGAGGATCACGGTCACCGCTTCTTTACTATGAGGGTAGTATTTTTATTTCGAATGCTTTTAAGTTTTAACTGTTGTAGTATTTTAATTCAAAGGGGCCTTGCTGAGAATTGCATATCTAGAACTAACACATACCTGCCCAACGGTCGATCACTCTCATCACGTCCCAAAGTATCAAAGATTTCCACGTAATCGTACATACAGTCCATTGTCTGCTCCATACTGAACGATTCCCAATTGATCATAATACCTTTGCCTTCGGGCGCCATTATGACCCAATAACACTCCAGGTTGTTCAGGTACATATCATCTTCACCAGTGGGTAAACGTATCTTATAGCCCGGTTTAGTAAAAACACCACCACAATCGGTTTTACCCATCGGTATGGAACGATACTCTAATTTGAAACCTCTTCCTGAGCTGGTAAGAGAGGTGTGGTAAGTAAAAATCAGCATATTTGTTTTCGAAACAAACTCCACAGGTGGTGTATTATTTCCGCAGAAAGGACCAGTGATATTTTGATTAAGACCATCATTTATCTGATGAGTGAAAGGGCGTAATAAGTCATAATGAAATTTTCGTGAAGCAGCTTTTGAAAACAAAAGAGGTGTTTTTCACACAACTCATTGCGTTATCGATACTCACCCGCAACGAACTAAACGCGCAATCTAATGAATCTATGCTACTATCGTGAAGATCGAAATCGATAAATTTAATCGAAATAACTGTGTTTGGTTCAGTTGTTATTTTAAAATTGCAAAAACGATCTATATTTTCTAATTTCGGGTAGGCTGGTGAAAGCACTTCGTCATTGCTGCTCTCGAAATTGTAGGAGCAATCTGAAATCAGTGTCAATTAGTCACGTAAATATTTGCTTATACCACCACAAGCTACATATGCTCACCAGCTTCATATTTAAATTCGAATTTACCCGCCCGTGCAAAATACTTAATGCGTAGTGCATTGTATAAAGAATGTAATATGACTGGCGGTACCGAACCATAACCACCACAGTATTTTCCCTGTAGCATAAGTTCGCGTGTGCTCGGATGCACGTCGAAGAACTGAAATTTAGAAGAAGTTGAATAAAGTGCTCAAAAATAGTACGGATACAGGTTTAAATTCTAACCTCCAAACAATCGTCTGTACTCATTTCGAATTTAGTAAATACAATTTTAATCGATTCACCGATTGCCATTTTTATGTCATATTCACAAGAGAGAGCGTCTCCTTGTAGACTTGGTGATGCAATGGTATCCTGTTTAGCTGTATAAGTACCGCCACATCCAGGCACTCGTTCTTCTGTGGAATAGTATATTTGAAAACCGGCATCTGTTTCGATATTGTCCGAGTGAAAGTGTATGATTGCTTCATTGGTGGGCAGCATCAGTGGAGACGGTGAGGATGAATTGCAATATTTTACTATTGTCGAATCAGCAATTGCATCGATGATCTGGAAGGGAATATGTATGTCTGTATGTAAGAGAATTACACCAAAGAAAATTTAGATAAAAGAGAGCCTACCGGCCTAAAGATTTTAATGATTATTCCTATGAATTACTAGAACGAAGAACTTGTTGTGCGATAATCCTTAAAAAATGGAGTATGTACTTATTCAAACAAATTATAAGGGCAGTGTCACACGATTGGTACATTTGTACAGATTTGTACATTTATTATAATGGGCTATTGGTACAAAATAAAAAAATTGGTATATATGGAAACATTTTAGCAAATTGTTTTTTTTTGTGATTCTGACAAAGAAAAATATTTGTGCATTCACACGATTGGGATATAATTTGCACCAAATGTTATGAAAATGCTCAATCGTGTGACTGCCTTAATACCTATATTACCGCTTTCGTCAATATATTACACCGGGACAAGAATATAGATAAAGCTTAAGCTCCCTTAATTAAATTTCTAACATTCAAGTCACCGGGTTCTAAGCGAACAAGGTTCCCTACCATCAAACTCTGGCTGCAATTGCATTCCTATTGCGAATACAATTTTTTTTCAGCCGAGTATAGTTCAAATTATTGGAATTGACTAAATTAATTATATCAACAAGTATTTACTTCCTTTTTCATAAAAATCGCTCGTGTTTATAAATTTTTAAATTTAAAGAACTTACTTATTCAAATTTACGTATACAAAAATGCAACCATGAGCTAGAATCATACGTATGTTTTTCGTAATTGCAAACTCTTGCTGGCAGCAATAGGTGCGTTCGACAAGTCAAAAATTTGTAATAGTTTTTCCAAATTTTTACTGGACGGCGTTCGATAACGACAAAAAATTATCCAACACACAAAAATTGAGAGAGCAAGCGTTCATTTTGATGCAAGAGAAGCGTTCATTTTGTACTGGCAAAATTTTAGTCAGCAAAAATTATTATTTACACGAAAACATATGATCACAAAACATATGGTTGCAATTTCTGTAAACAAACAAAATTGCATTTTCCGAGTTTTGGTATTTATATGCTTTTTGGCTTTTTTATGATAGCGCCAACTAGTTTTTACTTCTAGAAATGTTCCTGGCGAACATTGAACGTTCACTTTCCTTTTGTCTTCTATGGAGGCAACCTGAATTTCAGTTTGTTTACAAATAAAACATAAACAAAGTCAGCTGGTGTGTCTTCTTCTTCCGGTTTTTGCAAGTAATGGCTAATTTCCTGTTCGTTTACTCTTTTGCTTTTTCATCTCTTTGGGAGAGAATTTTCGCTTACTCTCTTGATTTTGATTGTTGGCTGGTGTTGGCTAATTTTGTTATCGAACGCAACTAATGTCACTTTGCGCTCTCAGTTTTTAAGTGATAGATAATTTGTTGGTCTGCACGAACGCGACTTGTACAAAAATCATGATAATTCGCTCAAATTCGCACAAATTTTTTGATCGACCAACAGAACTACTAGCAGCTTCCCCTCAAAATGAAATGTAATTTTGCTCTCTCAATTTCCCCTATTTTGTAGGATTTTTGTGGAAATACATCTGGAGCTGAAACGCCTATGAGAATAGATTTTCAAACAAATGCACTAAAAGCTTATTTCTTCTTCTACTTTTAAAACCGAAATTCAAATTTTAAAATGGATAGGTTAAACAGCATTAATCAAATGGCGAAAAGTAATTTAATAAGAGTTACATTATGGTTTCCTAACCGTAACTGGGGATTGAAAATTTTTTGGGCCAAGGCTGACAAATTTTTAGTGGCAGACTAAAAGTACATTTCATTGAATATACATTTGTCAAGCAATAACCGCTCAAGACGACTTTAACCCTGCTTTGATAACGCTACTGAAAGTTGCTGAGAAGGTAATAATACGTCTATGAGACGTATCATGGTTTGCTTGTTTTAATTTTATGGTAATACAAATTTTTTTTTTCAAAGAACCTATGCCTTTAAATATTTACTGATTATTTAAATGCATTTTATTTAGAAATATTCGTCATTTTAAATGGAAATATGGATTTCAATCTTCATTACGCGAAAGAGAGGTTTTCAAAGCAGGGTTAATAAAGATTGCGTTATACATACATATATGCATTAAATCTATAACCTCCCCGACAACAACAAGCTACTCACCTCCAAGTAATCGAAATTACAGCTTTCGTGCTTCTCGATTTGCAAACTGAAGAAAGTCAACTTAATACGTTTGTTATTTGGCGCTCTCAACTGCCAGCGGCAATCGCGATTCTTCGGATAGTTGCCCGGTGAGCCGGGTGATGTGAGTGTACCATGCGATCCAACTTCTACAATACCACCACATTGCGGTGGTACAGAATTCCACTCCAATTCGAAACCCGCCTTTGCTGTCGAATTATCAGACCTGAACCACAAATACAATTCACTGCTGCTAGATATAATGTTACCACCCCTCGGCTTGTGTACACCACAAAAGCGGCCAATGATTTGTGCCGCCGCGCTTCGACCATCGTTAATTTGCAACCAATCGAAGCGGCATTCAGTTGCATCTTCCAATTCGAAGGCGTTGAAGGTGACATTCAGCACCAAAGACTCATTAGTGCGTATAACCCAGGCGCATTGTGCCATGTGATCATAAAGTGAACCTTCTGGATATTTCAGATGTCCAGTCAGACCTGAGAGTATGCCGCCGCAACGGCTAAAGCGATTATCGCACAGGCGACCATTGAAACCAGCCGGACATTGGCATGTGAATTGTGTGCCACCAGTTGCACGACAGCGGCCATTGTTGTGGCAGGGATTCGGTGTGCAAGGATTCGCGACGGGTGCACACGTTGGACTGCGGTAGCCCATCGGGCAGAGGCAGATGAAGGTGTCGCCTGAATCGACGCAAGTGCCGCCATTCTGTAAGTAACAAAAAAAAAATAAAATTGTATATAAGTACGTTGAGTTTAAGTCAAAAATGCAGTCACAATACTCACCTGACATGGCATAGTTGCGCAATTCTGTTGTGTACCCTGTACGCAGCCATTTAGGCCCACGCCACTACCGACCATTCCAGTTGGACAAGAGCACACTGCTGTATTGGAGACTTCGGTACATTTGGCCAGCGGATGACAGTAATTATTGAGCGCACAACTGGTAGCAGTGGCGCCATTCGTATTTATAGTGCCACCACGTCGCTCACAGCTACGCCCGTCACCAATCCAGCCGAGTGGACAATCACCACAATGGTATGAGCCCTATGTTGGCACAAAAAAAAAGAAGTACTTGTAGCATATTTGTCGTTCACTTTCCCTTCGCTTCTCCTAACCAACTATACTTACATAGGTATTTATGCACACCACGCGCGGACTCAAACTGCATCCACCATTTTGCAATGCGCATTCATCGATATCCCGACAATTGACACCATTGCCGGTTAAGCCAGCAGTGCACGGTGCGCATGTAAACGAGCCTGGCAAGTTTATGCATTTCGTGGCGCATGGCGGGTGTGATTCATTGCATTCATCCACGTCCACAGTGCAAGCGGGTGTTAGGCCATTTGTTTTCCAACCCACATCGCAGATGCACTTGTAGCCAAAATCGTCATTGCTATTCACGCAGGTGCCGTGCGCGCAAAGCTCCCAAGTGGATGACTGCATGCAGTCACCTTTGCGTTGTGTGCAGTGTATGCCGTACCAACCAGCGCTGCATATACAATTGTAGCCGCCATGTTGGTTGACACACTGACCGCCATTTTGACAACCCAAATCGGTGCCGGCGTATAGGGCGCATTCGTTGACGTCGTTCTGGCAAGTGGCACCCTTCAAAGAGATGATGGTTTTAGACAAAAAGTGAAATGATTTGAGATCACATTTTTTTAGACCAAGGAATGCCTTATTTGAGTGTTTGGAAGGTCTTTTTTTCAGAGATCGAAAATAGTGGTTATTATAATTTTTAAGAAAAGAAAAGCAGATAAAATTATTCATCCAAACATTGGTGGATGTAGATCAGCACGAAGGAGACAGCGTTCCAACAACTTTTCGGTCTGCTTTGCCCGAACAATCCTGTTTATTTCTGGCCAAGAACTGTCGCTCTTGCAGCAATCACTTACTTATGTGTAAGTGCCCATCTATTATTATTCACATTCTTCATTTCAGCTATGCAATGAGAGTTGTTACCTCTTCTCTTCGAAAACAGGTGGTCATATACGTTTGCGGTCTTCCACCAGAGTTATAAAATTTATTCTGCTTATCCTGAGTTTCGCCCGAAAAAAAAATTCACCCGAAAATTTTTATTCCACCCATAGTAAATACATGGAAACCAAATGGGAAAAGTGAACCGGTTCGGGGAAAGTGAAACTCATGATAAGGCTGATTGTATTTTAAGATTAAAACCAAAATATTTCGAAAAAATTTTAAGATTTACGTGATCTAGACCTATTGGCAAATACTTCCGACAATGTAACTATGTATTTTGATTAGATACGACGATAAAATGTTTGAACATTTTATTCAGATTTTTCAAGCTTAAACTTTTCTATAATCAGAGTTGAATTAAGATGTGTTGGTATTTGAAAAAAATAAACTTGGACACGAATGACTTTTTTTGCACATAAATAAAAAATAGTGGAAAAATACCTTTCTACCGAGATCCCATAAGTCTAAATCAGAATAGTTTTAGCCCAGTTATTTAAATTTTTCGTAAATTAATCTTTGAAAAAAGTAAAAAAAACAAACAGCATCAAAAATCTCATTATTACGATTCCGTTGAAATTATTTTTAAATATTTTTATGCAGATTTTTTAAGTCTAGTCTGTTTTGTCATCTGAGGGGACTTTTTTCAAAAAACATCTTTAAGAAACTATTTTTATTCATAAAAAACTCCATTTTTGGAGGAATTTTCAAATTTGTTCAGCTCGCTTAAATCTTAATATTTCTCCGAAATATTTTGGTGGACGTCTTAAAATATAATAGATTTTGTAATCTGCAACTTTTTTTGGTGATGCAGTCTAATAAACATATGTAATCACATATGTATATGTAGTTCTGACCTCGTAGACCACACAGTAAAAGGAATATAAATAGAACTCTTTTATGTCGCACTCTGTCTCCAGCCTGAAGAATTACTATAAAACGAAAAAGTTCTACAGAAAACTGGGCTGTTTGAGAAAACTGCCGCTATGACGCTAATAGCACTGGTTTACACTATCCAATTCCTATGTAGAATTTCTCGGTGATTCCGAAAAGTGGGATAATTTTTTTTTTTTCTATGTATAAATTTTCGAGATATTTGTAATTTACCGTTATTCAGCTTAAAAACGAGTGGTTTCGTAAACTCTCCATAAACCGTATATACAGTATCGGTCATATCTATAGCACGCCATTTCAAAGTTATATTGTGTGCAACTTATGTTTATTTATTTATTTTTTAGAATTTTCAATTAAAATACAGTTCTTTCTCTAACAAACCCCATATAAACCCAAGTTTAACAATTTGTAGAAAACTTCAAAAAAGTGCAACAAATTTTCACCTATATTTCAAACTTTTTTCTCAGAAGTGTTTGAATTTTTCTGAATACACAGTTTTATAGCCCAATCAATTTTAGTCTGATAATGTGCAAGTTTCAAGTGACTGAAAGTTACCGTTGATTTCTTAGAATTTTTTTCTCCAAAGGTGTTGCGGTTTTCATCCATATACAAATAAATTGAGTTTATTCATTATATGGAAGCCAATGCGACAAAAAAAATTCTAAAAAATTAACGGAAATTCGTAGCCACTTGAAATTTGCACATTATCAGACTAAAACTGCAGTGGCTAAAAAACTGTGTACTCGAAAAAATTCTAACACTTCTGAGAAAAAAGTTTGAAATATAGGTGAAAATTTGTTGCACTTTTTTGAAGTTTTCTACAAATTGTTAAACTTGGGTTTATATGGGGTTTGTTAGAGAAAGAACTGTATTTTAATTGAAAATTCTTAAAAATAAATTAATAAACATAAGTGGCACACAATATCACTTTGAAATGGCGTGCTATAGATATGACCGATACTGTACATCACTTTTCGATAGCCCTGATAGTTTCTGAGAAATTAATTAATCATTTCTGACAGCTCTTGCTTTCGATGCAAACACACTGCCTACTCAGGTGCACGTGGCGTATGAGCAACACTATTTTCTGCGCATATTTCATACAAAAAATCCTTGCGCATTTTCATTTGACCTGTCATTACTTTCTTATTTATTCATCAATTTTCTACATTTGTAGCTTAATTATTTTTCTAAGAGAAAAGCCTTTATAACACAAGTGCAAAACATTTACACAGAAACTGTTTTTTTTTTTAATTTTTTCCCTCTTTAAGTTTGAATTTTTTGCATTCTTCTATCAAAAAAAAAACAAAAAACAATCTGGAATAATTAATTAATTTCTCATAAATTTTCGAATTTTAGTATAAATCTGATTAATTGTACCAAAATTCACAAATTTGCACCAACTTAAACACCAGTGTGTTACTTGAGTATCAGGGCTATCGAAATGTGATGTATATACGGTTTATGGTGAAAATTTATTAGATTTAATTTACCGTAACTCAAATTAGGATTACCCAATTGGTTCGTAAAATATACGAGATTAAGTGGAAACACTCTTTTTTATAAGCTTTTATTTTAAGCTGAATAACAGTAAATTGTAAATATCTCGAAAACGTATCCATACAAACAAAAATTAACTCCATTTTCGAAATCAGCGAGTGATTTGACATACAAATTTGATAGTGGCGTTTGGAGAACAAAAACAAAATTAAAATTTTTGACCCAGTGTAGTTAAATTTTCTTCGTTTTAATCATTCGTCTCCCTCTTCGCATTCGTTTTCGTCGTAGTATTCGCCTTACTCTTCGTCTCAGCCCTTTTGTCTCTATCTAGTCTTAACCTTAAACCACTGCGTAGCTCTTAGCGACAGTTCATTTTCAATATTAATGGAGACGGAAAAGGCGGAAATAGAAAGGCAAAATGGATGCCTCTCCGTTGCATGGAAATTTTCGCACATTTTCGTTACAATTTTTTAGCTCACTACCGCCGCTAAAGAAGTTCAACATCAAACTTACCTCGAAATTTTTCGGGCATTTACAAATGAATCCACTGAAAATATTTATGCAGGTACCACCATTCTCGCAAGGATTACTCTTACAACTATCCAATTCGAGGCGATCCCACAAATTCTGCACTTTTCGTTCGACACGTTGCAAACGGGTTTGAAAACGACGTAGCGACTGATTGTTGGAACGAGTTCTGAAGCGATTAAAAATAACGAAGTAATCAAAATCGTAGCCAAAACGCCCACAAAAAGTTTCGAAATAGTTAATCCAAGGAAAACTAACCTATTCAACATTGTGTACAAACGTTTGTCCAAACCGTCCGCACCGAAGACATATGTACGCAGTGTATTCAACTCATTGGAGAGTTGCGCCAAATTGTCCGCTTCAAAGACATCCTGGTGCATTGGTGAGGAGCGATTGTATTTGCCGCTCAACAACAGTAAATCCAACAAATCATATTCGTCATTGATATTAATGCGCGAAGTGCCATCCAAGCGAAATGTGATATTGCGATTAAGTCCAGATTCCACTATAAGATTGCCATCTTTGGTTATAATTTTGGGGCTAAAAACGAAGGATAAATGGTTGTTAAAAGAAATCGCGCTCAAGGGGGCGTATAAGCGCTTGAGACATACGAATTAACGAATCCATCGGCTGGATCTTCCAAATAAATAATTAATAATATTATTTGTAGTAGCAGTGAGGTGCGACAGAATGTTGATATCCTGTTGGGCGGCATAGTCTCTCAATACACAGGAATATCCTGCATTTAAACACTTTTAATATTTTTCACTTTAATCGCGGCAGTTTAAGGTGATTCTTGTTTCTGCGCGCACTGCTGGAGCTGTACTGGCCGGAAAGATGTCCGCGTAGTTTATAAAATAAATTCAGGGCGTTTTTTTTTTATCAGTCAACATGTAACGCCCCCATTGTTGGAAAATTTATGTGTGCAATAGGGTGGTCCAAAAATACATTCGGGATAAAATGGAAAAAGAATACCCGTATTTTTTTTGTTAAACAAATTTAGAACTGCCTCAAAGCCCATGAAGTTTTCCATGTATTTTATATCCGAAAAAATCACTTTCCATTTTTCCATTTAGAAAAGTCCTAGCGGATGAGAGCTTAACACTTTCAACTTTTTTTTTTTGACCATCCTAATGTGCAATGCACGGATTCGATAGTTATTTGTAAGATAAAAGACATTTCAGGAATGATTGCGTACCAATCGGTTACATGAATTGCATTTATCAGCATCTGGCTGCGCTGGTCATTCTATTAATTGATTAGACACATGGGTAGCATAAATACTTAATACTTGTAAATACATACATATGTATGTGCATATGTACATAGTTAACATGAGAAACGAGCCCCCAATTTTGATCACTCTATGCTAATGAGCGAATTTCCACTATTTTCACTTGGAAGAAACGTATGGCAGGCAAGTTTTTGTGACGCATAAAAGGTCCTAAGATAGCTATACATACGGTGCCCATCCGTCCTTTATTTTAAAGGACAGTCCTTTATTTTAACCCCCTGTCCTTTATAATTATTTTTCAAAATAAAGGACGCCTTTTGTCCTTTATTTCTTAAACTGTCCTTTAAATCAGCTCTACATTTTTCAGAGGTAAATTTTTAAACACACAATAAGAAAAATAAAATAACCCCACTTAAGGATTTTTATTTAATAGGTAATCTTTGCACAATCTATAAAGCACAGGGAAAGTTGTGCCCAGGATCGTGTTGCACGCTGAGTTTCAAGTTCCACTAAAAGAGAACAATAAACCCCCTACTGTGCAGTGGTTCAAAACTGGCATTTAGTGTTCATAATTCACTGGAGCCTTCATTTTTTTCACTTGATTTGATAATTTTTTTTATGAAAGCTTATAATATTTGCAAGAGACCAGTTGAGCCTGATTTGTGAATTTTTATTTTATTGTTTTAATTTTTTAGTGCAAAATGCAGAAAAAGTGGCAATTTTGAAGAAAATGTCTTCTCCTGTTCCAGTTAATAAATGGTACATAACAACGACTAGTAGAAAACAATTGCATAGTTCCCCAAAACATTTTCCACAAAAAATGTTCACCAAAATAAAGTGTTTTTTTTGTTTTTAGTAAAAATTGGTTGAAAAATGAAGACTACGGTGAATTATGAACACTAAAATCCAATTTTGAACCACTGTGTGCTGGCTTCGGCGTGCAGTATGAATTATGGTAAACGCATTTTGGCAGCAAAGGATGGCGAAATCCTTGAAATGGATTTGGCTTCATTTTTCAGAATCGGTTGATTAACTGCTAAATATCTGATTTAAATTAAATTACGATATGGGTAAGGTACTTTAACGTATAAGTTGTATGTACGTATTCCCAAATCATTTTGGAAAAAAATGTCCTTTATTTTACGTTGGCTAATATGGTCACCGTAGCTATACACCATGATTGTACAACCAATATTGGTAGCAGTGGCTTGGTTTTTAAGAACTACTCGACCGAGGTGAGGCAGTCGTTCCCCAAACTACATACTATGTACAATGACTGGCATGTATATGCATAACAGAAGTATGTAATGCGTACTTGTCCGACGACGGCACTAGAAAATTTAAACTTTTAATTCAAAATTTTTAGAAAAATTTTGGGTATGCAGTTTTGTAGCTCATTAGCTAGGCATTTGCTCCCATACGAAATCCCAAACGAAATTGTCGAAGAAAATGCACAACACCTTCAGCCATGAAAATTATTAAAAATCAACGCGATGTTGTAGCGTCTTGAAATTTGCACTTTAACCTACTAAAATTTAATGGGCTACAAAACTACATACCCAAAAGTTTTCTAAAAATTCTAAATAAAAGGTATAAACGCTAGAAAGAAATACGTGTTGACTCCGATCGGCTTTTTGTTAATTCGGTTCTTGCGTAAGTATAAACAGGGAACAAAAATTCAAAATATTTATTTTATTGAAAATTGAATAAAATAATTTTTATTAATTTTATATCTGATGACTGGAAAATTTCCACTGCAGAAAGTTACTAAAAAACTAAAAAAAAAAATAATAATTTAACGAAAATCTTTTCTTTTTTCGATGTACACTGGCGTTCAAAAGTGAGCGCATGGTAATTTTTGTAAAATATTTGCAATGTTTTTTAAGTTAAAATTTAGTCGTTTCATCGCGGCTCAGCAACGCTTCAATTTCGGCATCTTCAGCGAATCCCAACTCACTTGCTTTTTTGGGACCTGCCCCTGCTGGTCTCGCTTCCGTTTTGTTGTTGACCAGGTTTTTCTTAACCTTGAATTTCAAGTCCTCCCATACCTTTAAGTAGAATTGTATAATCGTTACAGTTTTACTAAACCCTTTGGCGTATGCGAGATACTTTCCCATTTCGGAAAATAAATTACAAACTACTGCACGACAGTAGTTTTCATTTTAACTTTATTAATGGAGAATATCGATATATTTCTAAAAAAAAAACTTCGGTAATACCAACGGTGATATCTCCTTGGGCTGCTGTGAGGATGGCCGTGATACTCCTCAGTTTCTGATTAGGCCTAAAAGCCGATATCTCTTCCTACAACTTAATTATGTACTTCATCCTGGAATTGGAGCAATCTTTCTTTTAGAAAAGGAAAAGGTCCCATTAAACCTGTTTCTTTATTTACAAGTTTGGTGGTTTTTTTTCTTTACTTTTTTATTCGTTTTCACGCTCTTACAATTCTTTCTATAACTATAATATCAGTTATCTATCTGCAATAAATAATATATATACGTACTTATAGTAAACTAAATATAGTGACGCGATACGTTTAAAATATAATTAAATCATATTTCATTTTGGAACTCAATACTTGCAGTACTTAATAAAATTAAATTTTACATCTATTAGAGGTTCAAAGGCCTGCTAGACAAGCCAATTAGGAAAATTAATAACAAAAGAAACACATTCCGTGTATTTAGATGATTTAAATAAGAGTAATTCGCTGAAGATAAAATAAAAAATAATCAGCCTTATCATGAATATTCTGGTGAAAAATTTCGTCATCCGAAATGGTTCACTTTATCGTGAATGTGGAACGATTTCGGGTGAAAGGCATTTCACATAGAAACTTCGAAGTTGGGATAACAGCCTGCAAAGCCGTTTAATAAAATTTCAGTGAACAAACAGTTTTGAACGTACAGACAAATGTAGGAAATATTTGCGAAAATTTAGCAATTATTTTGCGGTTTTAACTGTGCGAGTGACAGTTATTTCACCGGGTGAGTACGGTATACGATAGGGTGAAAATCATTCGAAGTGAACTATGGTGAATATTTAATATAAATAGGTGAAGTGCATGGGCGACATGTGAACGAGTTCACACGGAATTAACATTCATGATAAGGCTGAATAAGTCACGTAATTTTTTTTGTAATCGTTAAATCTGATTTAAGTACGCTTGCTGTTCAGAAATTGTGGGCGATTTTAGCTGTATGAAACGTGACGGTTGGTGAAGTTGGATCTATTTATTGTTAAGTGCTTGAATGCATACTTAAGGGTTTCTTAACAATAACTCTAATAAATAATCATACTTACATATATGCATACATACATACATATATAAATTTACATTATAAATTTGGCCAAACTACACACGCCTACATTGCTAGAATCAAATACACTGTAAGCATATATTTAACGTATAATAAAATTGACATTAAATATACTCAGTAAACAATTAAATATATCATTGTTAGATTATTTCTACTTCTATTACTTTATGGCATTAATTTTTAAAGCTACATTACATGAAGCAGATAGCAAACAAAATTTTAAATTTAATTATAAGAAACTTGAATGCCTTTATATGAGAGTGTGTACAATATTTGACTGAATAGTATAAATTATTCTTTTGCATTATTAGGTGGTTAAGGTTTGTTGTTGGTCCTTCCTTATAATCTCCCTACATATGTTTATGTAGATATATCAGCGCACGATTTGCAGCTATGTTGCTTAGAAAGAAAATTTTTCTTCTCTTCGATCAGATTGTCATTTTAAACGTTCAAACAGTTTATATGAATGCAAACATATACACTGGTTTTAAAAATGAAATTTGCATTTTTTGCCCCTTATTTTTTTTTTGCAAAATCATTATTTTACAATATTAGAAGCAGTTTTACTTTTTACTTTCTTAAGCAATAGCTTTATGAAGTTCTTAAACAATCGAAATGAAATAAATACAATTAATGTTTGGTTTTTGTAAATACATCGGATTTTGTAATTCAAAAATCCATTACCCTTATGAAATGCATTTTTCGCGCTCAAAAATCATGTCAACTCTGTCATACACACGCACACATACACCCTCAAGGTCGCATAAATTGTTTTGTCCTTGATTTTAATTCGTTTTCTTTACATTGCCAGCTGCTTGCGTTCTTCGTAGATGCTCCTGTTTCTTATAAAGGAACTTGTACTGTGGATGATCCTTGGTGTAGCGCTCAAAGTCCTCTGTATATGACATTAAAAAAGGAAAAAATAAATGCATTTAATATGTTTACGATTGCTATTTAAAGTGTAAACTTACCGAACGCAATGCAGCCTTTATGCGTATGATCGATTGCAAAAAACAATGCATCACACTTTTCGGGCGTCATTTTTCCCGTGTGTCTCAGAATGCGTGCAAAACTTTGGCGGGTAATACTTTGTGACGACTCAGCGTAGAGCTGAAGGAGTAGAATTACAAATATATATTATGCACTGTATAAAAATGTCGATGTGATTATATGGAATTGTTGTTAGTAATGTTAATTTTTGGAGTCTCTCGCTATTGGCTTTATTTGACACAGGTAGGACTGCAGTAGGACGATACACAAAACAATAGTTTAGGGTAACCTCTTAGCCTTTTTGAACATCAACTGGACAATTTCAGTACTTAGGGAATGCATTATTTGATGCGCTTCCCATTATCCTATCGAACGATTCCTTTCTTCCGCACTCGCCAAACCATTTTGAACAGCTTATGAATGTGTACATATCGCTTATAGTAGCACTAGATAAATCCGCTAACTGCTTCATTATATATTTCGCACATGAAATCAAATACTGTTCAAGCACTACCATCTAGCAGGTAGTTGCAGCATATTTCGTTGTATGGAAGTCCTATTCTATAAGCATGTTTTCCTAGCAGTCAGTGACCGCTGATACTCGCTACAATCCTAAGTACTTCTACCCTTCACCTACTTGGCAGCTCTGCTCTTCTTTCCCTGCTATAGTCAGGCCAAAGCTCACGTACTATCTTACAAGTCTGTATCTCTAACCACCTCTTCATTGCTAGTTTAAGAAAGTACAAATGGATTTCTGTTTGTATTTGTCTGAGGGTGTATCCCGATACCACCGATATCGATTCATCCAAACAAGCTATCGCCTTGGCCAACTCGTCTGCTCTCTCGTTGCCTTCTATGTTCCTATGGACGAAAACGCAAACAACAGGGACCATTAGCCGAGTCATCGAGCATAGTTCTATCTTGCATTCTTTGACTAGCTTAGACTTAGTTTCAGTAGATGATAAAGATAGGAGTGCTGCCGGGCTATCTGAGTAAATTGCCGCTCTTTCTTTTGTGGAAGCACTATTATTTAGTATGCTACAGGCCTCACATATGCCCAGGACTTCAGTCTGAAATTTCCGGGCATAGTTTGCCAGCCACAGGGACCGATTGACACCAAGCCCGCCGGAATATATACTTCTGTCCCTACACCGGAACCGTCAGTGGATTTACAGATGGTTTCCTATCAGCTTGGCCCTTTTTCATTCCCTTCTGGATGGCAACCACATAAGTACATAAAAGCCAAAATCCAAGCTTGATGCCATGTAGTCCGTGACCTTATTTGCTATCGGACTGAGGCTTTAGATTGAACTATGTCGAAAGGTCTTCCGACTCCCTGAGTCTTACTGCTGTGTACATGACGATATCCTTTAGGTAAAGATCAATGGGTATCATATTGATGACGAAATTCAGTGCTTCTGTGGAACAGGATTTCAATGCCCCAGTAATTCCTGAACATGCCGCTTTTTGTATACTACTTAGACTTTTGACAATGTACTGTATACTTAAAGCTGACCACAATACCATGGCGCAGCAGGTAACGATTAGCCTTATCATAGCCTTGTACATCCACATCAGAAGTTTCAGTTTTAATTCCCAGCTTCTACGCCAACGCTTGGGACAATGTCAATATAATATAATTGTTGCACTCAAAAAAATCAAAAGACAAATCGCATCTCGCATATTCCTAATAGCTTCTGTTTTCGTTTCAGTTTTTAACTATCCATAGAAATTTCTACAGATTTTGTGCACTAAAAGTTGTATTTTTTTAATAAAAGCAGCAATACACGGAAAGCTATTAAATCACGCCCCGCAATTTGAACCATGAGACTCGAGGGCTATCACCATAACACAAGAGACGGTTTGGATGCGGTTGTTAAATCCATAACATCCCACAATCTATCACTAGTATTATGAGTATCAAGGTAATGCAAAACAACGTATGTAAGGTTGCCCAAAGTTTACAGTAGAGAATAAAAACTGTCCTATTTCAAAATGGTTCTCTCCTTTGTAAAGCGGTGCATTTCAGGCTAGTTTCTTAAATCGATACTTTAGTACGAATGGATAAAGCTTGATGTCAGCAGCTTCTGGGTACACATTTTAAGCACGAATGTCAGATACACGGTTTTGCAGAACGAAGATACGTGGTTTTGTACTTTAAACGACGATATGTACATATGTGTAAGCCACACTACTTATAATTTCATTACAGTTTCCATTTTTATGAGCTTAAAATTAAAACTAAGTCAAGAAAAAAATGCAACTTACATTCGTTATAGCACGCAAAAATACGATGATCTCTTCATTCTTTAATTTACAAAATTGTGAGCATAGCAGAAAACTCTTCAAGCTGACTGTGTAATTGTGATGCTGCAAAACAAAAGCGAGGAAAGAAAGGTAATATTTAAGAGAAAAAAAGTACGATTATATTTCCTAAACATCTTACATGATCTAAAAGTGCAAAAAGCTGGTGTAGATGCGTACTCTTGGCATCGAGTTGCAGCAATTCAGCAAAAGTAAATATGTCTAATCGGTCAGTATTGTGTAAGCTAAGGAAATCAGCGACTAATTCTTGGTCACGTTCGGAATCCGGTAGGAAGCTGTAAAAAGGAAATAGGGATAAAGCAAAATAAATAATGAAACATGGCGAGTAAATTAAAATTTAAACACGTGCGTGTGAAAATATTAAAAAAATAAAAATAAAAATGTGTAAAAAATAAGGTAAAGCAGCTGAAAATTTTTAGTTTGGTAAACTGTTAGCATAAAGCAATGCGAAAGAAAGCAAGCAATTCAGTTCAGTTCAGTACGTCTGCGCACACTTACCCCAAACTGTAAAGCACACGTTCAATTTCGATAATATCACCAGGGTAGGGCACACGCATATCTTTGGCACGACTCATTGTAATCACATCTTCGAATGAATATTCTGACGTTGGCACACCGAGTGCTCTAAGGAGGAGGAAAGAAGGAAATTTAAATTTTAGAACGACAAATATGTTATCTTGCATCTGGTACTCACTTCGCCATAACATCGCGCACATTTTGTGCATATAAATTTGCATCAGCTTTTTCCTCTTCTGATGGCGTGTAGACAGGCAAAAATTCGATTTCGCAACGACTATAGAATTGCGCCATCGTCAGCCAAAGTAGCTTGAGGCTAATTATTAACAAATATATATATATATATATAATATGTCTATTAACACTATGATTGATATTGCTTATTTATATTGAATACATTTTCACAAATTATAAAAACTATATTGTACTACCTAATGTCTATGTTTGTACATATCGCTCATTTACTTTACTAGTATCACAACTCAAAAAATACAAATATTGAGCAAAATATGCAGAAATTATCGCTACTTCTTCTTCATAGTTGTGTAAAAATTTCAAAGCTGTGTGGATTACAAGTATGTATTTCGCTAGAATAAAATATGTATTCAATTTTACCATAGAAGTATATGTAAATTCAAAACTTTAAACCCGTTTTTCTCGAAAATATTAAAAATCAACGCGATTTTTTTTCAGCTCCAAAATAGCACTTTATTATACTAAAATTTAATGCCTACCAAGTTTAAAACTGCTTACCAAAAATTATTCTAAAAATTCTGATTGGGGTTTGAAATAATGATGAAACTTATTTTCTTTCATAATTTTTGCGCAAAGTTTGAAATTTGGAATTACATACATTCACGAAATTATGCCAAAAATAAAAACAAAATTAAATGTGAAGTTAATACTTGAAGCCCTCACTACGCTACTTACACGCCAGGTCCATCCCATGTCCATGTGAATGAATCATATTTGTTGGGGTACTTCAACAACACCGGCTGTACCGGCACCCCCGGATAAAAAGCTCCAGGCTTAAATTTAATCAACGCCTTTCGATTAGTGCATGTACCCTCGGAAAATATCACAACTTGAGGCCATTCATCCTCGGAACGTGCGCGTTGTACAATTTGACGTATCGTATTTTGACGCGAATTCGGATCCTCGCGCTGCACATAAATGGGTTGAGCAAAGTTGATGATTTCTATTGAAGTTAAATTAAAGATAAAAAACAATTAAAAATATATTACTTAGTTAGGTGATGAAAATGTAAACAAATGAAAAACTTACTGCCTAGCAGTGGTATATCGGCTGTTTCGCGCTTAGCCACAATTGACGGTGGTCCAGTTGCTACAACAATAATCGAATCCACATAAGAGGAGTGTGGTGCCACGACCATAATGGGTGCTTGTTTGGGTGATGCACGCTCGCCAGTCAATTTGATATGCATAAAAGTGCCAGCAGCAAAGAGTGTGCGCATAGCACCAGAGGTTACGCGTTGACATTGTCTATGCAATGGAAAGGGAATTTAATGAAAATATTATGAAAGTCACAAATATACATACATACATAATGAAAAGTGTGGTTAGCAAAGCAAAAGCCGCTTGTTGAATTTTTTTCTTTTATAATGGGCTGTATGCATAGAACCTAAACAAATGCTTTTTCTTAAAATTTCAAATCTTTTACTCGATTTGTTGAAATACATTTAAGTGAAGGGTACAACATTTTTAAGTAAACGCATTTGCTTAAGTTTTTTATGCATTACGGCCCAATATGTCATATGTATGTTCAAAGCCATATCGTAAAAAATACAGAAACATAAATGTTAAAACCTTAGACAAAAAGGGTTTTTTTATTTTTCTAATAAAATATCAATTTTGTACTTTAGTATTTTTTGCATTGATGATGACGATTTGTGCGTAATTTTTTTATTTTTAATTGACTTACTTTCGCCAACCGGTTATTGGTTTTGACATTAGTTCATCCAATGTTAGGCCATAGAGGCCAATACAGGCAAACATCCACGCAGATAGTAGAGAGAGAACACAGCCGACAACGCGAATTGGTAACAAAAGCACTGTTAGCACATAAACCTGCAAAAACACAAAAATTTCTGCATAAATTTAAAAGTGCCAATGAAATTAAAAAATGTTCCCAGCCGATATCCCCAGCAGCTAGCACTAACTTACTCTTCAAATTTATAACTTAATTATCTTTAAGTTTAATAGATCAAATAAATAAATACAACTTTTTCGTCAAGTGTAAATACATATATCGCACGTTTAATAATATAGAGATGTAATACAAAATTTTCGTTTTTGGAGATTTCATTATGCAATTGATAAGCTTGAAAAGTAGAATATGTTCGGTCTAACAGATAACCAAACTTCCCAAATATGTGTGTGAAGATATGTGTCTTTTTGTATACAAACTATATGAATTGATAAAACTTTGATTGCGTTTTCCCACAAAATTGAAATTTTGAAATACTTGGTTATATTATTAAACGTACGATATGTACATACATATGTACATCTTTTATAAAACGCATACCAGATACCTTATCGAGTATCCGTATATGATTAAAAGCAACAAATTTAAGGCATTCATAGAAAGCAAAGTTAAGATTTAAAGGTATTTTTACACCTGAAAGTTCTCAAGAAAAAAATCGGAAAAAACAGCGAAAAGCCCAATAGAGTTTCATGAAACTTCTGAAAAATACCAAAAGACCTTAAAAAATAAAACACGAAGCATCCCGATAAATCTCGAAAATGGCAAAAAAAATTGCGTGCGGCGTGTACTTATCTCCCAAAGATCACACTGCTGGCAAATGCAAATAAGGATAAAAATTTTAAAACTAATTAATAAAATTAAAGTAAAATCTGTAGAAGATTAACAATAAAATACTTTCTTCGCAAAATCTATAAAGGATCCTTCTATTAAAAAAAAAAAACTGTGTAACAGGTATTCGTCGCCACGTTGTATATTTTTGTAAGCAAAAAATCTAAAGTAAATTACCAAAACATGTAAAGTAGTGTCCCCAATTATGTAGCCACCACTGAATATATACATACTATTCTAAATTTAGATAGGTTCTACTCTATCTAAAGTTTTAAATTTGCAGATGTTTCCAAGAAATTAATGCAATAATGCCGGGTTTCTACTGGACGTTAAATGAAAATATCGAACCCTAACCGCCGAAAAGATGGAAGCGACATTTTTTCAAAATTTTCTTTTTGATACAAATATGTTCTTAGAGCATATATATTCATTTCTGCATAAAAAAAATATAAATCTCGCTTACAACTTTTTGACGGTTAGAGCTCCATATATTTAATGGCAAAAAGTGAGAACTAAAAAGTACCTGACCTATTATTTTTGTAAACAAGTCATTAATTTGTTTCCACATGACATTCTTTTAATGGCAAATTTTTTTTATTATTTTATGTTCTGCGCAAATTTGGCATATAGTATGTAAATACATAAGTCGTAGTAAAAGTTTTTTATTATTAAGCATAAAAGTTTACCATGAAAAATGCGGGTCTCAGAGACGGAAGCCTACATCAGATGAGGAAAAAACATAACTCAAGAGAAAATCGGGTTTTTTTCGGTGCATTAATTTTAGACGATAGGACGATAGTTTAAACGGTTGATGACCCGATAAAAACCCCTTTATGGCGGACGACGGAATGGGGTACGTAAGAAGAACCACTGAAGGATGCGTTCGAAGAAAAGTTAAGAAGGGAGGTGGCCGACTGCTTTGAGGATGCCTTTCTCAGTGTGTGCTTTGACGTCTGAGTCCCAGAATTTCGGAAAGGAAAATTTAACGTAGTTATTTTCAGAATCCGATGGCGTAGTTTTAGATGCTGCCACACTTTTTTAATTCAAAAAAATACCGTATAAATAGTTAAAGACTACACATTTTCCAAAATGTTTGGCCGAGCCTTTCCTCCGATTCGTTCGGAGGTTTACCATCGTCTGCCCACGGCCATCGCTATCAGAAAACATTTCGCTGTTAATCGGATCAGGGTTCGAAGCGTGGTCCTACTGAGTGGCATTACGCACCTCCAACAAAAAAAAAACAATAAAATTAAGAGCATTTTTTTTTAATTATAAGAAACAAATTTTTGTTATATTTTTCTAAAAAAAACGTTTTATACATACCTGAGTATACATACATACGTACTTCTAAATAGTGTGGCTATTTAGAAGGCGTTGAACTCAGTTCGAAACGATTTAACTTTCAAAAATTAAGACCTAATGCAGTGCATTTTGCCAAATTTTTTCTTAGCAAGATAAAATACCTTCAAGTTTATACATATACATATAAATTATACAATCGCGAGATAAAAAAATAATTAAATAAAATTAAAGACTATTACATATGTATATGTCTGTACATATGTATGTAGTGGTCAAAACTAGTGGCGGTGGCAGCAGAAGCAGCAAACATCAGCAGAAGTAAATAAATACAAAAATAAACAGTGGTTTAATTTTTATTGTACCCACATGTAAAAATACCACAGATATTTACATACTATGTATGCATATACAGTCAGCGTTAAAAATATGGATACCCTGACGTTTTTAAGATTTTATTTATATTTTCCGTACAAATTTTTTCTTATTTTTTTTTATAAAAATATACTTCATTCAACAGCTAGAATCAAATTTTTTATTTTCATACCAAACTCTGAAAAATGCAATAAATACCAAGAAATTTTCAATTTTTAAACTCGATTTCTAAGACAAATTTTTAGAATGCCGTTTTGTAGCCCATTTTCTTCCAAATAGCTTATTTACTTCATTAGTGTCACAACCTAAAAAAAAAACTCTAGAAAAAGGGCTTTAAAAATTTGAACTTACATATAAATGAATACTGGTAATCGATACATCAATGAAATTTTTACTCAACTTAGAAGAAGAAGTAGCGGTAATATCTGCGTACTTACCTCAAAATTTGTAATTTTTCGATTATGACACTATTGAAGTAAATGAGCGATGTAACCTTTTTTATATGAACACCTGCGAATTGAACTAGGCTACATTGGCTACAAAATTGCATATTCAAAATTCTTCTAAGAAATCGAATCGAAAAATTGAACATTTCTGGCATTTTCCCACGAGTTCTTAATTAAATAAAAAAAATATGCATATCGCCGTTTAAAGTAGAAAACCGCGTATAAAGAAAATGTAAAACTTCGTATGTTAGGTTGCCAAAATTTTATAGGAGAGAGTAAAACTTTTCTAATTTCAAAACGGTTCTCTTTTTTATCCCTAATTATCTCTTCTTCTTATATCTAAGTATCGATGTTTTAGTATGAATGGCTAAGGGCTTAATGTCAGGAGCTTCCGGTGAGCAATTATCTTTTTTGGCACAAATGTCAGTTACGAGGTTTTGCAGAACCACGAAACGCGGTTTTGTATTTTAAACCAAGATATATATTTTTACAAAAAGAAATAAGAAAAATTTTCTATGGAAAATATGAATAACTAAAACCGTCAAAAACGTCAGGGTATGCTAATTTTTGACGCTGACTGTACATGCTTTTGCCTGTGCTTCAGCTATAGCCATCTGCCGGCACAAGTCACACCACCACATGGGCCATGACCAATTCGCATAAAGAGCGCATATCTACACAACAATGTCGACATTGAAATCAGCGGTAAAAGGCAGAAAACAAAATAGAAAACGAAAATGAAAATGAAAGCAAACCAATATGAAGCGAAATATGTACAGAAGATTGCACTGAAAGGTAATCAGAGTAGAAGGCTGAAATGTAATCGGGCTTCATAGCAGCCACGCAGACGTTGACTCTGACGCTGAGTGCAATTAAATATATTTTACTACAGCGAAGAAAATATGTAGCAAATATTTGCATAATTATTGTATGTAAATACACACAAAAATTTAGTCCACATATTTTCTTTGAACTACAAACGAACTCATGAAAAACTTAGCGTAATTGGGTCACTTGGACACAAACAAAGATTCATGTGCCCTTTTAGCAAAATCAACATACAGTGCGTGCGCCTAAAATTATGCAATTTGTACTCTGTTTATAATCTGCGTTAGTAGCTGAAGAGCTGGATTCGTCCATTTTAAGCGGTGGAATCTTCACAGGAAGTAATCGAGCAGAAATTGAATAGTTCAAATCAACATTAAATTTTTGAAAGATCAATGCAGTAAATTTATAGATTTAAAAGTTACAAAAAAATGTCATATAAATATTTAGGTTAATTAATAAAAGAGGAAAACATGAGTCATTATTTATTTTCCTAGTGAACTGCGTCGAATATTTGAGCAGCGATTAGTCATAAATGTATTGTCGCCTTGGAATGCTATTAAGAATCTACATATTTGTATATATAATCATAAATTAAGTGATCAGCTAAATACGTACATTGACAAAGAATCAATTAATATAAGTATTTAAGTAAATATAAATTAAATCAAAGTATTTACATACATATTAAAAGCATTCAAGTAGTTATTATGAAGCTGATCAACCATCGGCATCGAATTATACGAATAAACAAATTCTGATTGATACACAATATGTACATATGTTAGCTATGATGAGCAAGACGGAGGCGTAATTTTACTATCGGCAGTCCATAAAGCCGCCAAAAACTACTGTTTTATTAAGTACAAAAGTTTTGTTTTCTATGCAGCGACCATTTATTAATTTTTAACAAGGATTGGTAAGGTAACGTATTAAACGAGTAGCGTCCAACCCATGAGCATTTAATCTCGAAGGATACCAGAGCTAAAAGTGCCGTCTGACCATCACTTAATAGCCCTTAAGGATCCTGTAGGTTCTTCACGATTTGCAGGTTTTACAAGATTTACAAGAACAGCTGTTTTGCCATTAAAAACCTTGGCGAAGGTGGCGACCGGGAACGACTTTCTGTAAAAACCTGCAAATCGTGAAGCACCTGGAACAGACTTAATATAAAGATCCTCTCACGGCGATAATTCCTACGAAGGTTAATCTCCGCACACAGTCTAATGGAATAAACTTCCGCTTGGAAAAGATGCTTGGGAGGGCAAGTGCCAAGGGCACTGAAAGCTTGAGTCTAGGGCTTCATACGTCTGCTTCAATACACTCAGGGGGTTCAAAGAGCCGTATGTGTACCACTGTAGTCTGCTTGCCTGGGCGTGTCTCTCCATAATAGAGGTACTCCAGGTCGCGTTACTGTACATATCGTCGTTTAAAGTACAAAACCGCATATCGTCTTTTTGCAAAACCGGGTAACTGACATTTTATGCCAAAAATTGGATTTGCTCACCGAAGCTCTTGGCTTATCCATTCGTCCTGAAATATACTAGACAGAAATGCGATTGCTTTATAAAAGAGAGAACAATTTTGAAATATGAGTGTTTTTACTCTCTACAAAATAATTTATGCAACCTCACATACGCGGTTTTGTACTTGAAACGACGATATATATTTACCTTAGAGCTTCTTTCGAAAATTACTCTTCTATGCATATCGTCTCTGGGGAATAGAACTAGTGGGAGGTGGTAGCCGAGTTTGTCCTTGTTCCTAGAAGATAAGACCTTACCTTTGTCAAAGCCACCTCCCGCGATATATAAGAGAGTTCGCTTTGCCGTCTGTTCAACTGTAAGATGCAGTTCCTCTCCTCGAGTTGAAGAATTACCTCCAGTGCTGCCGTCGGACATGTACTCAAAGCTTCGTGCTGCAAACACACGCCAGACGCTGACTCTTGGTGAGAGACTGCCTTACCGTTGCCAGAGTAGTCCACGATACCCAAGCCATTGCCGCATTGGTTACTATTGGTCGTACTATCATGGCTCCTTTGGGTGCATCTCTAGGATTTGCACCGCTAGACGTTTGCACACCATCAGGGCTCTCGTAGCTATGTCGTTTGCGGCCACAACATGAGTCCTCCACTTGAGTTCGGAGTCTAGGATAAGACTCACGATACTTTACTTCTGTGACGGCATTGATCTCGACCCAATCGAAGGCTAAGTTTTTCATTCCCTTAAGAATTATTTTCCTGGTAAAAGGGACGATCGCTGTCTTATAAGGATTAATATTAAGACCAACATCAGCATACCACTTTTTTGCTAGATTAAGTCTTCTTTGAACGATGTCGCAAAGAGTATCTACTCGCGAACTTCCCACTAGCAATAATCACTAGTGGTATTCACTAAAGTGAGCAAGTGGCCTGGCAGTCTGGCAAAAGAGTAGATCAGCTCAAGCAACGACTGTTGTCATTTTCTTCCATATAAAAATAGACATTCTTCATACGTTACATGGAAGATAATACGCAACAAAAAATAAATAAAAAATAAAAAGTTTAACCTTTTGATGAAAATATTTTTAAGTTTGATTAATTTTTGTGAAGCTATAAAACTTTTATTAGTGTGGTTTTTGATTTAGATCGAACTATATTTTAAATGAAAATTCTTAAAAATAAATAGATAAAGATAAGTGGCAAACAATATCATTCTGAATTTTGCACCTATTATTAACCGACTTCCAAAAAAGGAGGAGGTTATCAGGTCGTCGGAATATTTTTTTTTTTTTTTATGTATGTTACCGCATAACTTTGGACCCAGTCAACCGATTTCGATAATTGCATCGGAAAGGTAGTGTCTCAGAGGTGTCCCATACTAATCTGGTTGAGATCCGATCAGTGGATCATGAGATATATATATATATATATATTTTTTATATGGGAGTTGAAGTCGGTTTTTTTTTTGCTAAAAATTACTTGTTATGATCATGAGTGTATGTATATATTTTTCATTCTCGTAAATAACATTTTCTAAAAAAAAACAAAGTTAAGGAAATCTGGCTCAATTTATGTACATATGTGGAAATATATATTAATTGCACAATTTAGTGAGCTAAAATGTGATACATTAACCTCAATTAAGAGCTAAATTTCCCAATATTCCTAACTGCGTAATTAAAGGTAACATGTGAACATAGTATAAGCTCGATACGCTTAATTGAGTTATTTCCTGCGTATGGAAAATCTCATAAAACAGTTGCACAAACCCATATCCGCCATATGTTTACATGCGCTTGGCCTCAGTGGCTTGAGTGTTTACTTATTCGTACATAAACACAAACAATTGTAGTGCAGCTTTTCTTCTGCACATTTTTTTATGCCATTGATGCTGTTTCGCTCCTAAATGAGAAGTTTATTCAGTAGAACGTAATTATGTAGATATGTGGTACAAACTACGGCAACGCAATAAATAAAAGCGAAAGCAACAAAACTGAATCGTATGATTTTTTTATCTAATTTAAGTACATTAGCGTTAAATCATTTCGAGTACTCTTGCCACTAACAACTCACGTACGAGTAAATAACAAATATTTATGTATGTGCGATAATAAGCAGCAGCGGCAAATCTGCGAAACAGTCTGGGGACTTGTGAGAAGTCTCGAGAGTAGAACCATTTGTGAGTTATTGAAGTCTGGCGCGGCAAATACACACATACATATGTACATACTGAAATATTCAGAAGGCTAAGTGGTTATTAAAACGTGTCCGGCGTTCTCGCTATCAAATATCGAATGTCTCTTTGCCGCTAACTATTTACAAGGTGGTGTCCTGGGTGATCATGCCCTAGGGGCTAGACCCATAGCTCTGTCCCTTAGTCACAGTTATACTATATACTCCGACACAGCCAATAGAAATTTAATTCAACAAATAAATAAATAAATATATACTCTTACAATACATAAGTTGCAACAAAATTGTATACATACGAAAATAAGTATGCTAAACAAATCTGTACATCTTTATTGGAAAGACTTCTTATTTTGCGATCATGAATAATCATTGTATTTGTGTTTTTATTTTTCGATCATTTATAATCGCATGATTCATCCGAACTTGCATGGTTTAAATATAAGGGTAAGCAAGCATTCAAGATCGATGGACCAAAGGACACATTTTTTTTTTAAGTAGTGAAAAACTGTTTACACCGACATCCCTGATGTCACAACAACAACAACAACATGGAGCTGGACGCTCTTGCCAAGCAAACGAAAGACACAAGTAGTTAGCTGCCACAGAAATTTTCAAGGGACAAATGTAATGGCATAAGCTGATTTTTGCTAATTAAGTAGAATACTTCGTTTGTATTAGAATGAATTCTGCCGCTTATATTAACCGTTAGAAAATATTCTCATTTCCTATTTGAATGTCGGCTGTGAAAAACACACGATTCTCCAACAAAAAAATAATACAAGTATTTTAAATAATTGGTTTCAAGAAAAATCTTTAGACTTTATATATTTTTTTTATAATTTAGTAAGAAAGAAGTTCATATCGCTAGCTTAGAGTGAAAAGTTGCTAAGCCCCAATGAAAAATTTTGCAGAAGAGGAAAAAACGTATTATAACCATTTTCTTCAAGTACTTATTTCGCAAAATTTTGAATATACCATTTTGCCTATTGGAAATGACTTAAATGTTACTACTGGACTAAAAAATAAAAGTCCAAGTTGAACGATTATTTTATTCCAAATAAAGTTATAAGCTCAAAAATAGCCTTTCTAACGACTTTTTTTATAAAAGTTATAAAAGTCCGGGTCCATGCATTGAAGTACTAAGCTAGCCTGATGTTGTTGTTGTTGTAGCGGCTACAACAACCCCGCTCAGATCGGTTGATATCTCAGTCAGGCAGCCCCAAGAAGCGTGCAGCCTCTATGGGGTCGGTCCACAGGGACGACGCCGTTAGGGTTGTGGGGTTTTCCGGGCATGCAAAGAGATGTTTCGAGTCGTGAGGAGTCTCTCCGCATGCCGGACATTCATTCCTCTGGACTTCGTCCGTCGGTTCATATAGATGCCTCCTGACGTGCCTTGGCGAAGGCATCTCAGAAGCTAGCCTGCTAAAGTATCGCCTTGAACCCCGTAGAGTCGGTGACATTATTTTCACAGCTAAGAAGTGTGGATAATTTATCTTTTTGGTTGTAGATTCCTCCGACAGGGTAAGAATTCAAAATACTTCAAGTGAGAACAACTTCAAAAGCCCGAATTTCTAAGCTTCAAAATCGATTCGAAACAATGACTTTTGAAGGAATCTGACGCCGTAACAGTGCAGAAAATTTATATAAAGATATAATAAGGTCCTACTTAAAATTTTATTTCTATGCAAAGTGATTAAAAAACTTAACAAAACTGTTCATTTGTTAGTTGCGAATTTCTTTAAAATGCTGTTTTTAATTGAGGACTGAATCAATTAAATGTCGGTGTAGCTTTTTTTTAAATTCTTCTTCTTTTTCTCTCTTCTTTTTTTTAAATTCCTGTAGGCTTTTATGGAGTAATTTGCTGGCTTTTATACAAAGCAGGACTTAGAAAAGAAAATGAGATAGGCCCTTTCAATATAGATTATATATATATGTATATACATATATACATATATAAAGGCAAGTTCCTTGTCCTTTCATTGGCTTAAGAAAATATAAGTAAGTATACTTATTTATTCGCTTAGTTTTTGCAAGCGCATAAAATTCCGAAAAATAATGCATTCATGTAATGATTTTTTTTAACACGAAGTCGTAGTAAACATGTCTAATCGAATACTAAAAAGCACATACCTTCGCCAAATCGATTCTATTGTCAATCTGTAGTCGATGTACAAATGGATTGATATAATCATAACCAGTTGATGACCAACCATCTTCTTCCGAATCTGTTTCCTCCATTGTATGATCCAGATGTGCAGAATTGGCATCGTTGACGATCCGACCATCAGCTTCCGCGTCACTTGGCGGTGCGTTGTTACGCCGATTTTTAAATGCTGATGTTGTCATTTTTACTTGATGGTGTCCCAGGCGGGGAAAGTGGGCGTTATTGTGACCGGAACACAGTTTCCAGTCACTTTATTAATTTGTTAAATACAAGTGCTTAAGTCTGGCTCTGGCGCGAGTAAAAAAGTTTGTAGAAATAACAGAATTGGTTTGCGTTAGAATTTTTCTTGTATTTTTTTTAATATTTTCCTTTTTTGCCTTTTGATAATTTTCAAGTCACGCGTCAGCACATTTCTTTCCACGGCATTCAATTCCACTTAAGTATGTTACTTTTCTATGTTTCTTTCAGTCAAAGTGTGTACGAAGACTCTTTTTAAAAGTGGAGGTGGCAAACTTTTAACACAAATATAAATGTAAAATACACCTGCACTCCCACAACGCGTATGTTTTCGCAGCGTAGACACCACGCCAACTCACTCTTGTATACTGACGGCTAATTTGTATTGGCGTCAATTATTTCCAACAATATTATGGTCTGAGAGCACACTTGTGGGTTACGATGGCACTTTTGCGCTCAGCGCAATATTTGATCAGTTGGCCGGCTGACTTGTTGGCTTCGGGTGCACACAAACGTTGTGACTGCGGATTGCTCAATTGCTTCAATGTATCAGTATGTTTTACTCTCCAAATTGATAGAGGCGGGGTCACTCTTGCTTCGTTTCTACTTTTATTATTATAATTTTTTTTTTTTTGTTCTTGTGCTTCTCCTCTTGCTGAAGTCTGCTTCTTCAATTATTTGAAGAGCAAGCCATTTATGCCATATAACATCTGGAATGCAGAAAATATAGTGAAGTCAAGAAAATGTGCAAACAGAAATTAACATATCGATGCTCCTCTGCAATAACGACACAATTCAAAAATCAAAAAAAAAAAAATTAACTTACTAGATTAGTCAAGAGTTAGAGACAGTAATATAGTATGTATTTTATTTTTTGAATTTTGAATTGCGCCGTTATTGCAGAGAACCATCGATATGCATGCAATTTTTGAACTAAGTTTTTAACTTTTTCGGGTCGTTTTGAAATGCTCAGTATTGGTATTGATCGCAAAAATTTAGTTTTTCGTATTTCATATTTATGAATAATTTTGAATCTAATGAACTTTTCAAGGTTTTCTATTAAATGTTTTGTTTTGACTTTTTCAAATTATGTATAATGTCATGTATGTTATTTATGAAATCGATTATTGTGATGATGAAATATGTAAAAAATGAAAATCGATTATTGTCATAATAAAGGTATTGATTAATCGGGATTTTTATAAACATTTTTTTTTTTTAATTGCCAACTTTTATATTGCGGAAACTAGGCCTTTCATCCTGATGCACATAAATGAAGACTGAAGACTGGGCCTCGCCAGCTACCCAACCCGTGCTTATATTGTACATATATACATATGTATATAAATAACACCCCTCATGGATGCTATAAAATTAATATCCTGTATAAAAGTATAGAGTATTTGAAATTTTGTTAAAGAAAATATGAAAAATAAGAAAACGTTTTAAAATTTTCACTTCATACACAACTTTAAATATTTTTTTTATATTTCTATGAAGGTTACAGCAGCCTTATTTTTATTGAAAACGAAAGCGTATTGTTCATATTTTACAACACAAAAACAGCTTTCCTGAAAACTAAGCGTTTTTGGCTATAATTCATCTTTCAGCCAAGTGATAGTTAAATTCAAAAGATAGTTACAGACATTTTTCTCGATTTATTCAAATAAATTTAAGAGGTCTGAAATTTTAAGTAAAAGCATATGCTTAGTTTTTATTTATACGGCGCAATATTTAAACGATGGTTATGAGTTTGGCGTTTATTTTATTCATTTTTAATGAGCTCATCACCGAACTAAACAAAAACTGCCGAATTTCTTTACGAAAATAACCTTTGCAGTAAAAGCGTTCTAGAACGGCAAAATCCATAACGCATCACTTTGCAATGTTGTCTGACAATGCAATGACCGATATTTTACAAATACTGTAGTCAAACTGCATAAATACTTTGCAGTTGTATATTCCAAAAGTCAGCCTGTATATAGTATGCATGTATGTATGTATTTATAGAAAACAACTTTTCTCAACTCATTGGATTCAAGCGGCTCACCGATTAGCACATCGAATGGAAATTTCTCTTAATTCCTGGTTTACGTTTCGTATTGGAATTAGTCATTTTTGAACAAGTTGTATGTACATATATAAATATGTACTTATATTTAATAATTATTAAAGATGTTATTGAAAGATAAAAGGTTTAATTTCTACAAAATTAATCACAAACTACATTAAGTGCATAAGACACAATAAGCAATCAATAGCTGTGAAATAGCAACAGAAATGGCAAATACAGATGTTTATATATTTTTTTTAACACGTAATAGTTGTTCATTCAAATATGTATGATACTTTGTATTAAAGCGTATGTTAATATACGGTAATTAATTTTGCCGGTAATGAAAGTGAGCAGCGCTTAGTATGTGTATGAATTATGTACATACATACTTATGTAAAAACAGGCAATGGAAAATTACTTCAAACTGATAAGAAAAAAATAGAATATAAATAAAGATGTGGCGCCATAAAAGGTCAAGACTGGAGTATGCAACGATTATTTGGAGGCCTTACACTAAAATTCTATCTAACCGATTAGAACGTGTTCAAAAAATCTTTCTAAAATTTGCTCTCCGTTCATTAAAATTTTCTTTGCTTGCTCACTACCTTCCTACTATTCTCGCTGCCAACTAATTAACCTTACAGCACTGGATAACAGAAGATCCATTTTGGCTTGCACGCTTGTCGTTAATATCATAACTGGCTCAATTGACTGCCCTTCTCTTCGTTCCCACGACAGTCGGGTCTCCGTAACCGGAACGACCCAGATTTATATCTGGCCAAGGACTGTCACTCCAGCAACACTCCCCAAAACTCTATGGGGAACTTGTATGCTGCTACAAAAACAACAACAACAACAACTGCCCTTCTCTTCTAGGAAAGATTGCATTTAATATTCCTTCTAGAATCCTCCGCCATTGGGATTTCTTTAAAATAGGTTTCTCTAGAAGCAGTTATGGTGCCAACGCTCCGATCTCTAGAACCTGTACTGAACTTAACTTAGTCTTCAATGCTTTAGACATTGATTTCACACAATCAAGCCCTGCCTTAGTCACACATCTGCGAACATTTTTCTCTGCGCCACACCAATAGTGATGTTTTTACTCTCAGCTCTTTTAATTTAATGTATTTGTCTTAATTTATAACTTTTAGTAGCACTTAATTAGTGTTAGTTGATTGGTCTGTAAGAATAATTTGTATTCCAAGACTGAAATAAATACATATTAAAAGAAAAATTAAAAATTTATAAATGATGACACAAAAATAAAAAAACGATTGATTGGGCCGTATGCATAAAACCACCCACTGGGAAAATAGGTAAGCACCTTGCGAGGTAAGCCATGTTTTCTTCCAGTTTTTAGTACCAAAATTGTCATCATGGCCAATGTCATCTACTAGTAAAGGGCAAAATGAACACCTCCGAAGACACATTACGTTGTCAGTTGCAAAATAACGTGCAGCCGAAGTTATTTCCAAGCACCGAACTACTCCGAGCGACTGCTCTGCATTACACGTAACTTACTTTATAAAGCGGCTCAGAAGTATGTCTGATACCAAATGTACATTCTAAATTCCTACTTACATAAGGCGGCCATGCCTTTGTAATAGTAAGGGACGTTCGGCAGGGAAGTGGTAATGACTGCCAGGTGAAGAGTAAGTTGCTAATAAGGTATTATTACGTGCTCCTAATTCCCACTGGGCAATGATTATTGAATCATGCATAAAACCTATGCAAATGCTTTTTCTTAAAATTTCAGACCTTTTACGCGATTTTTTCAAACAAATGTAAGTGAAAGGTATGAAATTTTAAGTAAAAGCAATTGCTTACTTTTTATGCATACGGCCCATTGTTTTGTGTTTAGTGGCTATTTTTAAGTAATTTCCCTGCAAATCAAAGTTCCCGCAATCTTAACGAAATATTTAGGAGTATCTCATTTCAGTAACGATTTTTTTACGAGTCTTCAAAGAAAATTGTATGAAGTGCTTATCACGAACTCGAAGAAATTATTCACTTAGCCACATTGCTTTACCGATTTTCTACCGAAATTTCGTAAAAGAATTGAAAACCGCACAGTTTGTTTCATGTGCATCATCATGGTTTATTTCATTTTAGAAAATTCAGTGAAAAAACGGATGAAATCTTTACGAATTCTTTAAAATTTCTCTAAAATTCAGAATACTATGAAAAAATGGTTTGCAGGGCTTGTGGTTTAAACTAAATGAATGGTGCATTATACTAAAGCCAACCTTCCGACATAAGCTACTATTCCATACGACCATATGTATGAATTGGTATAAATACATACCCTGCAGAATATCTGACTAGTTCAGAACTAGCGTAGAACTAGACATTTTTCCGACAGTACTAGTTCTAGCTCAATGCCCTAGCAATGCTTTCAACTGTCCAGTTTTACACGGCGATGTCATTGGTGGTGGCAATTGTCGCCCAGTGCATTACTTTGCAACTAGTTTTTAACCGGTTCCGTTTTGGACAGTTTTTTTTTTATATGAAAACGTTTTTAAGATTAAATTTTTGGATATTTTTTCCGTTTTTCTTTTCTGTTACAGATTTCATTTTTGTTACATACATATTTTACTAAAAAAATAATGGTAATTATCTAGTTGGGCTTTCAAACCCCACAATTTTTTTTTAATAACTTTTGATCGGGTAAAAAAAGTTATTTTCCGATTTCGGATTCTTGTTATTGGGGCCCAGACGCGTCTAATGGTACCCCTTTCCAAAATTTTGACCAATTTTGGGGGTTGAAAGCTCACCTAGATAATTACCAAAATAATAATTATCGTAAGCTGCACGCAACAATTTAAGTTCATACAATTGCCTCCACCACCGCGATTTGAACTCGCGACTAACGATGCTTAAGTCGGAGGTCTTCTCGCTGAGCTACTTTCTTATCGCACGAGTAGTGAGCATTTGCACATTTACATCGCAAGTTTTGTTGTTGTTGTTGTAGCGGCTACCAAGCCGGGGCGGTTCATCCATCAACGTTGTCGTCTATTTCAGCTAGGGGGAGGCCCAGGAAGTGTGCTACTTCCAGAGGGGCTGTCCATAGGGTCAGGGGCGTTAGCTGAGTGGGACTCTCAGGGCATGTGAAGAGGTGCCGGGAGTCATGTGGCGACTCTCCACATGCCGGACATTGGTTGGGCACATCCTCGTTGATTCTGCTCAGGTAGCTGTTGAGCCTGCTGCAATAGCCAGAGCGAAGTTGGGCTATTGTAGTGCGGGTCTCCCGAGGCAGACAAAGTTCTGTCCCGCCCACGTCCGGTGGTTGTGTGCCTAGAACCGCATTCACAGGGCGGGAGTCTACATAACTTGAGACTGATTCCCTGTGAATGCCGTTCAGGGCCTGTCGGTAGGTTGACGGGTCCAGAGGTTGTTTAATATACCTCTGGACTTCGTCTGTCAGTTCGTAAAGATGCCTCCTGACGTGCCGTGGCGGGGGCTCTTCCGCGAGCAGTTGCCCGCTGGGATGGCCATGTCTGTGGCTCCCAGCGAGGAACTGCTTGCAGATCATTATGTTATGCTCCTTTACTGGGAGCATCTGGGCCTCGTCGTGAAGGTGGTGTTGAGGCGTCATCAGGAGGCATCCTGTCGCAGTTCGTAATGCCGTGTTTTGGCAGGTCTGCAGCTTCATCCACTGCGTCCTGCTAGTCCCCGGCGACCATACGGGCGCTGCGTAGTTCAGAACCGGCCGGCCAATTGCCTTGTATGTTGCCAACAACGTTTCTTTATCTTTGCCCCAAGTGCTGCCGGCCAACGACTTGAGGACATTGTTGCGGCTCTGTACTTTGTTGACAATTGCGGTTGTATGCGCCGAGAAGGAGAGCAGACTGTTGAAGGTAACTCCGAGGATTTTCGGGTTATTCACCGTCGGTATTTTTACGTCATCGACGTGAATACCCAGTGGCAGTCTGACCTCCTTCGTCCAGGTGGTGAAAAGGGTTGCCGAGGATTTCGCAGGGGATAGGGCAAGGCTCCTTGCAGTGAAGAAGCGAGAAAGTTCGGAGAGGTAACCGTTTACTTTTGAGCACAAGTCATCAATTCCATTACCAGACGCCATGATCGAACAATCGTCAGCATACGAGACTATATTAACACCTTCTGGTGGCTGAGGAAGCTTTGATATGTAATAATTAAACAGTAACGGGGACAGGGCACCACCCTGTGCTTGCTGGTTTTGTCTCTGAAGATTACTGACGAGTGTCGACCACTCAGGTAATTCGCCACCGTTTGAGTCCCTGTGGGAGTGAGGAGGTCTCTATTCTTCTAGTAGCGTTGAATGACTGACAGTGTCGAACGCCTTGGACAGGTCCAACGCTACTAGAATAGTTCTCTCACAGGGGCGGTTTCGGTTTAGGCCACGACTTATCTGAGTGTTTATGGCGTTAAGTGCTGTTGTTGTACTATGCACTTTACGGAACCCATGTTGATGCTTCGCTGGGGTCAGGTGGTTCGTGAAGTACGGGAGCAGCAGGGCCTCAAGTGTCTTCGCTACCGGGGAAAGGAGAGTTATCGGGCGATAAGACTCTCCTTTGTTGGCTGATATCCCCGGTTTGAGCAGTGGGACCACTCTCCCCATTTTCCAGATGTCTGGAATGACGAGAGTGGCCATTGACAGGTTGAGGACCTCCGTTAGGTACGCTACTCCCGCAGGACCCAAATTTTTCAGCATCAACATGCATATTCCGTCGGGTCCAATGGCTTTGGAGGCTTTCGCCTTCCCGATGGCTACCCTTACCTCACCGCTGGTGAGCCGGTTCTACGACAGCCGGTTCTACGTACCGGAATGACTCGGGTTTTACCCGACCAATGGCTGTTGTTTCGGCGATCTAACCCCGTTTAGGTCGGCGAAATCCATCAAACGTTGCTCGATCCTAGGGCTACACCTTCTCCGCACCCTTCTGCTCAGGGCTGGCATAGAGTCAAACCCAGGGCCAGAAATCTACATCGCAAGTTTCAACTGTCCCGCTCTGCATCCGTTTTGCACTAGTTCAGAGATAGTTCTGAAATATGTAGTTCGGAACTAGCGCTTTGTCAGACTGTCTCTAAATTTTACTGCAGGGTAGGTGTGTACATATATTTACATAGTATTCTTATACATATGTATGAGGCCCCTATTATGATTTGCATTCGATTTTCGACTGTGGTCGAAAGTGCTGAGCGAACGAATTTGCATTTGGTATTATGGCACTCATTCGATGAAGAATAGCGCTATTGTGAATTTCGCTCGTTTAGGTTGTTCACAATAGTATATTTTTCACCGCTGAGAAGCTTTGTTTACAAATCGAGCAAACTAAATAGTGTGCTTATACATATTTATGTAAATTTGTTCTAATTAAAATGAAGTAAAAAAGAAAGCAAGTTTATAAAAACGTGGTAAAATGAGTACAACGAGTTCTGGTTCAACGATTCGTCAGAGGATGAGAGCTTAGTAAACTGGCCAGGAGTAGCAAATGTTTAAGAGAGTTTAAGTTTATTAGTCTTTCGAATATATTTTGATATAAAATATATTTAAGAAATTTGTCTACAGATTCATTAAAAAGTTCCGACCATCTAAAGAGGCGTTTGTGAGCCAAATCTATTTAAAATATTTTAAAACTATCAACAGCGCTACGATTTTGTTCTCAGAGATCGTGCCAACAGAGTATTGGGATTTTCTTTCACAAGTAAAACCAGCCTTTCGAGCTTGTGTTTAGTATTCAAGATGTTAGAACTGCATGAAATTAATAAAAATTGTTTAAAATTAATGTCTAGCCGCCAAAATGTAAGAAAACATATACAAAATCATACATTTTTCACAATTTTCTAACACTTCGCTACACCATCGAAAGCAAAATTCTGTTCGACAGAAAATTCGATACTCAACGAAAATTTCGACACGCTTGCATAGCTCATAATACGAATTCCACTTTCGATCTTCGATCTTCGATAGCCAGCGAAGATCGAAAATCGAATGCAGCTCATAATAAGGGCCTGAGATATGCAAATTAGCAATCTTGCAGCAGAATAGCAGTACGGAAATACATACATATGCACTTGTCGGTTTCTAAACCCTCTTCTAATGTTTTGCTCATTCTCTATAGCCGCTTAACATTCCATAAACGATGCACTCACCACCTCCTCCGATACCCTGAAGACCTCCATAATAAGACTTATAAAACAGCATCGATTATTTGCACACCAAGTGAATTTTCTATGAATCGCCTGATTTCTGCGCTGACAAGTCATTACTCACTCGTCAGATATATATGTACATTGGTAGCTTCCTCTGGCGCTGAGTGGGAAGAATGACCACAGTTGGTTGGCTAATACATACGTTTCGTGTTGGAATGATGTTGATGTTATGGTGGTATACCATATAGTGTATATCAGAGAAAGTGAAAGAACTAACCGGCGCAGCTTCTATGAACTAATAAAACAAAAACCGATGAAAACTCGATGATACAGGTTATTAGCTGAATCAATTAAAATTCAAATCAATGCATTACGAATTGAAAAAATTTAATTATTCAAAGGAGCACTAATACTGGAGCCAAACCCGCAAAATAACAAAACGCCCATCGTTTACGTACCAATTGGTTAACAAAACCACCTCCTATAAATTCGCCTTGGTACAAAAATGTGTAAAAAATGTTACATAGTATATACCGCTAAAGCTTTGTATATGTAAATCAAAACAATTTTGCATTAAATACAGGTCAACAATTAATTTGTTTATTTAATTTTGGTGGTTTTCTGCATAATATGCAAATGTGGCGTTGCTATCGCAGCCGTTGCGTCGCCAAATCCAGTCACTTTTTCCACAAATGTAAGAACATCTGGAACATGTAAATCTTCTGGTTTAGTTTTTAACTTACCAAATGTTGTATCTCTTTCCGCTTTGGTTTTTTTTTCACAATTATTTTAGTTTATTACAAATTGAATACAAATTCGCGACATATAACAATTTTGCCATTTCTTTCATTCTTCTTCTTTTTTCCAGTCAAGAAAGTAACACGCAAAAAGAGTTACCACAACGCTTGGAATACCCATAAAGTAATACGAAAGAAATATACGACATTTTTTTAGGATATTGTCGCCTAAATTTTACAGCTCAACACGCATTCCTTTACAAAAGTCGTAAAGTGAGAAACACTTAACAATTTAGTTTCTTTTTCTTATTACATTTTCAACAATAAACAACTATTTTCCCAATGAAATAGCAATTTTATAAACTACTACCTTTGAGTACTTCCAATTATTTGTCATACTATCAAATGCAACTCTGTAGCAAAAGAAAGTATAGAACGAAAAGAAAATGGAAAAAATCAGTATAGGCGGAATTGTCAGCTGGTGGTGTATAGAAATTGTTGGTTGAGCAAAGGTGCGAATTGTGCAGAAGTGAGCCAATTAAGGAAAATTTTGGAACTTTAAAAGTGATTTTTTGATGTTAAAAACACAAATAAACATTTGGATTCCTAAAAAAGGTTATGGCCCATCTGAAAGGAGTCGAGTGAGTGCTATAAAGTATAAAAAAAAAACTATTTGAACTGATGTGTGGCTGAATTGGTGGTAATTTCACAAGCGATTCTACGATAAAATTGTGCCAAAGAGACGGTAATTATTAGCGTTACAGTAAAAATCATCAATTGTTCAAGTGAGTATTACAAAATACATAGATTCGATTTATTTCCCCATCCACTTTCTGTATCCCATAATTGCATTGGGTGAATATGCCTCATTACTACGTCATAGTTTTAAGTGGCCAAGCTAGGAAGGTCGCTTATCGATTGACGTTGTGTCATTTGTGCTGAATTCCATGTTAAATTTAAAACTATTACTTCTGCATAGTAAAGTATGTCCAGAGTCATGGTTCATAGGTATCTAAAACATTACTAGTTAACCTCAAAATTTTAAGTTGCCAAGTTTGTAAAGCCGTCTCATTCCTAAAAATTATTGGTATATTTTGTGTTGTTAAGGAAATTGGGCTTCGTTATGTTTGCCTCAATAACAACACTGCGCAGTTGGAATTTTGCTATTATTAAGAGCAAACATATACCTCCAACCCCTTCAACATTTTTACTACGCACTTTTGCTGAACGCATATGCGTGCCCAGCCCAGAGCGCAACAAACTAATACGCAATTTTGCTCAAAACTAACAACAATTTTTTTTTTTATTCATATTTTAAATTTGCGGTTACGATAAGAATAATTTATAGTTGGCGAAATCAATCATTTTCCTTATTTTACGTATTAGTTCTTTGATTTATCATTAAAACCATTTCGTCGCCTGGGTAAAAGATTGTCGTAAGCGTCATACGTACGTGCGTACATACGACAATCTTTTACCCAGGCGACGATTTGCTATGGTAGCACTATGATTTTATTTGCTTTGCAATCATTTTCTTTATCACATTTCACTTTATTATCACACTTTGGGTTGTTTCCCTTTTGTGTTGTTTATTTTGTACTGTTTTTTCTGCATCATTCTCCTTTCTTCTTTTTGTTTTATTACTATTCACATATGTACAATTCGGTGCTGCGCACACCATCGGTACCCGGTACTCGGTACTTGCTTTCGAAAAATGTATCTATTGATTTTGTTGCAATATTTTACAGATATCGCATTGAAAATTATGTCAATATGCTGCAACTAACTTTACAGTGGACTTTATTTTCACTATGACTACGGGCCAATCACTTTAATCCTATTTTTAGCTAATTTAAAAAAGTTAAATTAAATCAAGTTAGGGAACTTCCTCTTCTTCTTAAACGGAATCGCTATATCTATAAATTATTTTATACTTTTTAGTTCTTGTTGTAATAAAAGCGTGTTTTTAGTTTTTTTAACTATAATTTTATTTATTTTTTTAAGACAATATTTTACTAGTGGTTAAGGAAAGTCGAACCCTGCATCACCTAACGGCTAAATTTTTTTGTGGATTTATTTTTTTCCGTTTAAGTATTACATATGGGTATTTCCAAACTGGCGTTGCGTGACACTCGTATGACAAAATGTTACAAAAAAATTTAAAGAGTCAAAATTTTTAAAGGGTTTTTTAAGATTTGCATAGCTATTAAATGGCCCTTTATTCAGTAAAAAAAAATTACAACTGTTTGTAGTAGCGATTTAAAGATATTAGTAAACATATTTGCGCTGGCGTGACGTTACAAAAAAAAATAAGTGTATTTTGACTTCTATCACAAAATTGCAAAACTGAGAATTGGGCACGACTATTTGTATAAAAGATTTTGTAGTAATATTGGAATGTTTAAGGTTAATTTTCCAAGTTTTTAAATGTAGAAATCTTTTCTGCTTTATGTTTAATCAGCTGAATTATATGTCGTGACGTTACGTTACTAAAATTGCCATTGAAAAAGTTTTGTTAATATTGCTCTTGAAAAAATTTTTAACGGGAAGAAAACATGCATTTTATGTCGAACGTACTTTTTACTTTGACATCAGCGCCACCAGCGGTTCCATTTTTTGCAAATCTATGTCTTGCTACGTTTCAACGAAACTTTCCTTAAACATGACAACATAAAAATATCGTTCGACATCTCAATGAATTACAGCTTTGAAGAGAAAATTACCTCACTTGAGAGAAATTGTTTTGTCAAAAGTGGACAGATATATTTCAAGGAAACAAACTTTGAAAAACCCTGACGAACGAAAAATAAAAATATTTAAAAATTAAAAAATATACATATATATATATATATATACCGAAATGCACCGAAAAGAAATTCACTTAAATTTAGTTTTAACTAATAGAAATGACCTTGCGGTTTTGAACTATGCAGCACCCGTGTGGTCACCGGGGACTAGTAGGACGCAGTGGATGAAGCTGCAGACTTGCAAAAACATGGTACACAGACAGCGACAGGATGCGTTTTGATGTCGCCGCAACACCACCTACACGACGAGGCCCACACGCTCCCTGTTAGGGAGCATAGCACACCGCTCTGCAAGCAGTTTCTAGTTGGGAGTCACAGACGTGGTTACCCAAACAGACAAATCCTTGCAGAAGAGCCTTCGCCCTGGCACGTCAGGAGGCATCTCTACGAACTGACGGACGAAGTCCAGAGGTTCATCAAACAACCTCTGGACCCGACAGCTTATCGACAGGCCTTGAACGGCATTCACAGAGAAGCAGTCTCGAGCTATGTAGACTCTCGACCTGTGAATGCCGTTCTGGGCACACAACCACCAGACGTGGACGAGACAGAACTTCGTCTGCCTCGGGAGACTCGGACCACAATAGCCCAACTGCGCTCTGGTTACTGCAGCAGGTTGAACTCATACCTGAGCACATTAAACGAGGATGTTCTAAACGAATGCCCGGCATGCGGAGAGTCGCCCCATGACTCACAGCATCTCTTCGCATGCCCACTAAATCCCACTCTACTAACGCCCCTGTCCCTATGGACAGACCCCGTCGAGACTGCACGTTTCCTGGGGCTACCGCTGGTAAAGCTTGACGACAACGATTGAGGGACTAACCGATCTGGGCGGGTTTGTTGTAGCCGCTACAACAACAACAACAACAGCAATCTTCTTCCGTGTTCAAAAGCTTTTTTATTTACCCGAGCGCACTTGTGCACGAGGGTATATTAACTTTGTTCACATAACGGTTGTTTGTTACAGCCAAAACTAATCGAGATAGATATAGACAAATGTATACACAAATGATCAGAATGAGAAGAGAAGTCGATTAGGCCATGTCTGTCTGACCGGCCGTGCACACGATAACTCGAGCAAAAATTGAGATATCTCAATGAAATCCGGTATGAAGGTTTCCCTTTACCCAAGGTAAGTTGGTATTGAAAATGGGCGAAATCGGACTGTAACGACGCCCACTTCCCAGCTAAGAAATCTATTGAAAATCTCTGAAATCGGTCAATAACCACGCCCACCTCCCATATAACGGTAATTTACAGAAACACGAAAATTGCGATAAATCAGTAACTACTGAAGCTAATTGTCGCAAAATCAATAATTACAATAGCACTTAGCGGTTCGATCGATTGCTAATTTTTTTTTATTTTTTTTCTTTTTTATTTGATGTATATATTTCATTTTACTTATTTTACAATCGCAAAGATTGTTGATGTGTGTAATTTTTCGTTAAATAAAAGCTCAAATTGATGAATTGCAATCAACGATGGTATATGTTTTCTCAAAATATTAATTTCACTTCAATTTGTAATATTTTATTCCAAATAAATCTGCGGTTATCAAAAATTTACTGCTGTCAAAAAATATTTCATTTCACACAGCAGATTGGCAAAACTGTCTCACCATAGTAAAAATATTATTCAACAGCTTTCCCCATAGAACTTTGTTACCGATTCACACACGCCCTTAATTATATTTTATTTTCTTTTATGTTATTTCACATTATTTATTTTACTAATCTAAATTTTTAATTGTTTAGTTTTATTGAAAAAGTCAACAACAACTAACTAAAAACAAAACTAAAAAAATATAGAAGTTATAAATGAATGAATAAAAAAAAATTTAAGGATAATTCTACTGCCCATGGAGCTCGAACTCACGACCTCGCGGCTGGTTAACCCAGGTTAATCGGGACCAACGTTGCCGTCTGTCTATGCTTCAAGTCTCTCTGACTTACTTAGTCTCTTTAGGGGGTTTTTTAATTAATATTGTTTGCCTTTTAAGTAAACCTTTTATTCTTAGAAAATTAATTTTTAGCTTTTCATGAACCTTGTTAAAAATTCGAAAATATGCATGATGCCATCTATAAAAGCAAATCTCGATGCTAGAAAAACACAAAGCTGTATTTTAGTCAGAGACCGAAAACCAAAGGTATGATCGAAACTAAATGCCGTTCTCGTAGTTTTGTTCCCGAGAATGAATAAAATCTTAGGGAATGTTTTCACTTAAAAGATAGTTAGAACAATACTTTCGATAACGTTCTCAACCGGAATTATATAAGAACAAAATACTGTGGAACGTTCCCAAAGAGAGTGGAACGTTCCAAAAGAGAACAAAATGCGAACAATACTTTCGGAAACATATCAAAGAGAACAAATTGGGAATAATAGTCTCCGGAACGTTCTGGCTAAGAACAAAACGGGAACAAAATTCTAAGGAACTTTCTCGAAGAAGAACCATTTGGGACCTAAGGGCTCACGAACTTTCTGGCAGAGAACGAATGGGAACAAATCTTCTATGAACTATTCGCGATGAATGGAAGCGATAACACAATTTTTCTCATATCGTTCCATTAGTTTCAAATGTTTGGATATTAAAATTAATCGAAAAAAGAACTGAAAGATAAGCATGCAAATAAAATCAACGAAAGACTTATGATACGAACTTTTCTTGCACAGAAATAAAAAAATTGTTCCATAAATGGACAAAGCCAGCCTCCTAATGATAAACGATCTGAAATTTGAAATGATCAAGCTTCCCTCTAGCTTAGAATTAAAAATCATGGTTCTCGCTGAAGCGGTTTTTAATCCCAACACGCAGACGCCCCTCTCATTTTAATGTTAAGTTCTGAATACTTTTTGTTCTCTAGCAGAACGTTCCCCGGACCTTTGTTCATATTGGATCCTGCATGAAAACGCTCTCGATACTTTCGTTCTCACTCTGCTCTTCTTGAGAACGTTCCCAAAACTGTTGTTGG